ATGCATTGCAGGATATTGCAAAATCGATTCGACAAGGTATGTCCAATCCTGAATTGATTTATTTTGATGGAAATGCTACTGAATTTCCCAAATTCATCCGGTGTTTTGAATGCAGCTTGGACAGTAAGACAACAGATGCTGGAGAGAAGTTGACTTATCTTCAACAATATACTAGAGGGCCTGTAAGAAAGCTGATAGAGAACTGCATAACCCTCCCACCTGATCAGGGTTTTAGGAAGGCGAAAAGGTTATTGAGGGAATGGTATGGTCAGCCATATACTATTGCCAGGGCATTCATTGATCAGATTGTACATGGTCCTGTGCTGAAAGTTACAGACAGATAGAAGCTGTTGGAGCTATTAATGAAGGATTGTTACCATACTCTGAAACAGTTAGGTTACACTGCAGACATAAATGCCCTCGACAACATCATCAAGATAATGCGCCGTCTACCGTACCAATGGAGGAGCCAGTGGATCCAGCGATTGGTGAAAAGATAGGCAAGGTTAATGTTGAAGCCGAAGAAGGGGTCAGAAGAATGTGTCATTGTGCAAGAGCCAACCTTTACAGATGTCATGCTGTTTGTCAGCAAAATACTAGAAGATGGTAATGGTGTGCACTCATCTAATTCACGGTTGCGTAGAAGTTTCACTCAAGATAAATATCTGCAACAACGATGACAACTGATGCTATCAGTCGACCCAACCACAGCTTTATGATGTCATCGAAGTCGGTTGTAAGATGTCCACTCTGCTTCTCGTCACATCCATTGACTGACTGCGTAGAGTTCAAGGGAAGATCTAGTGACGACCGTTCAAATTTATCCGGAGTAAGAATTTCTGTTTCTACTGCATTTCTACTGATGCCCATTTTGCAAGAGATTGCAACAAGGAAGCAGTATGTAAACACGAAGATTGCAAACACAAACTAAAACACCATACTTCATCCTCTACCAAGGTTGAGGGCTTCTTCATATAATTACAGAAGATCTGACCAGCAGACTACGTCTTCAATTACCTGTTCTGAAGAAACTCAACCTAAAAGTCTACAATGCAACACAACTGCAATTGAGAGGTCTGGTTTGGAATAAAGACACAGGAATGGTGATTAAGACATATGCCTTGTTAGATTCAGCATCCTCGGCCTGCTTGTGTGTAGAAAGGCTACTAGATATATTAGGGATAACTGGTCAGCGAGAGGAATTGTCGTTATCAACCGTTTGTGGTGTGGAGAACCAAACTGCCCTGAAGGTGTCCTTGTCTATCATTGGTGTGGATGGCGATGAAGTGGAATTACCAAAAGTATGGGCGATCAAGAATTCAAATATTGTAAAGACGAGATGATCCTCGAAGAATGAAGTAGAGAGATGGAGTCATTTACCGTTGCCTGATGTTGATGTGATCGAGGTGATAATTGGCAGTTGTGAATGTTTTGTTCAGTACGAGTCCAGAATTGGTGAGAAATCTGCTCCAATTGCACGATTGGAGGTCAACATAACGCAACTGAATTGTCAAAGCTCAACTTCACAAATTTCGAAGTTCGAACTTTGCTCTACAGAAGACTGCAGAGGATAATCAAAACGATTATGGGCATGAAGTCGTCCAGACGGTCAACAGAAATTTTTAAGTGGACGATTTGTTGAAGTCAATGAAGAATCCTGAGTAAGCAATATTGATGATTGAGAAGCTACGAGAACTCGTTCAACGAGGCGGCTTCAGATTGACGAAGTTTATCAGCCATAATGTAACTGTGATGCAATCTGTACCAGAACCAGAACGTTCCAAGGCCTTTATCAACTTAGCCTTAGATGATCTACCGACGGAGCGTGGTTTAGGCATTTTATGGAATATACAATTGGATACCTTTGAGTTCAAGCATGATCTTCCAGATAAACCAGTAACGCGTCGAGGAATACTGTGTGCAGTTGCCTCCATTTATGATCCTCTTGGTCATCTGGCAGTAATAACGTTACAACCCAAACGTATTCTGCAAAAGCTTTGTCGTCTGAATCTTGCTTGGGATGAGGTCATTCCTGAAGAAACTGGGAAGCAATGGAAGACATGGTTATCAAGTTTGTCTTACATGGAACGATTGAGTATACCTCGATGTTACTATCCACCAGGCTTTGGGAAAATTGTATCACTGCAACTTCATCACTTCGTCTGATGCTAGTGAGCTTGGTATGGGTATTGCTTCTTACCTCAGATTCAAGAATGAACATTGCTGTTTACTGATTGGCAAGTCAAGAGTGTCTCCGATCTAATCACAGCTCATTCCTCGACTTGAACTAAATGCTGCGGTGATGGCGGTAACAATCAACCAACAATTGAAAGAAGGACTGCAATATGCCACCCATCAGGTTTTGTATTGGACAGACTCAACAACAGTACTACGCTACATACAAAAAGAATCCAGAAGGTTCCAGGTATATGTCCCTAATAAAGTGACTGATCCGGGTCAGTGGTATTATATCGACTCTAAACGGAATGTAGCAGACGATGCATCGCAAGGCTTGTCGGGTCCAGATCATAGATGGTTTTAGAGGACCCGATTTCTTATGGACGCCTGACGATAATTGGCCTGAACAACCTAACAAATTGGATGGCCTCAACGATGACGATCCAGAATTGAAGGAAGTTCTTCAGGTGCATGTTACGCACAAAGATGTCTTCCTCGATACGCTATTCAATCGATAATCATCTTGGGACAAGTTGAAATGCTCGGTAGCCTGGTTGATAAAGTTCAAAGACTAAATGGTATGGAAGTTTGGTAAGAGTTCAAAGCAGCCACCTTCTTCAATATCACACTCTGATCTACGAAAGGCGAAGTTTGATGCCATTCGTTATATACAAGCAAGAGCATTCTCAGAAGATATGCATGCGTTAGAAAATAATCGGAATCTTGGTCTATCTAGTAGTCTCGTGAAACTGAAACCCTGTTTTGATGGTGAGTGTTGTCTACGAATGGGTGGTAGCCTGGGACGCTCAGCTCTATCGAATCAGAAGAAGCACCAACTAATTATCCCATACAAGTAGTGTAGTGTAGTGGATTTGATCATCAGACACTATCATATAACTTCTGGTCATATTGGTAGAAACCATGTTCTATATGTGTTGCGGCAGCAGTATTGGATTGTCAAACGAAAGTCGGCTGTCCGGAAGGAGCTTTCAAACTTTTTTGGTTGTAAGAAGGCCAATGCGAAGGGCTGAGCAGATAATGGCAGACCTACCATCATGTAGATTGAAGTCTCAGGAGCCTCCATTTTCTGGAAGTGGCGTTGATTTATTTGGACCTCTTCTCGTTAAGCAAGCACTGTAAAGCGGTATGGTTGTATATTTACGTGTTTACTAGTGAGGGCTGCCCATTTTGAGGTTCTGCATTCACTGGAGACTAATTCATTCCTGGACGGCTTCGATGGTTGACAGAGTATTTACCTCAACTACAGGAACAACAGAAGTGGAACAGTGACGGACGATAACGTACATCGTGGGAAGTGGCCTTTAGCTCGTGTTACCAAGGTTGAACCCGGATGTGATGGACTGTAGATCTGTAGTAGTGAAGACGTCAACTGGAGAGTATTCGTGACCAATTACAAAACTATTGACAGTGAACATTCATTTCTAAATTTGTGATGTGAGTGAGGACACTTGTGATGAATTCACACTTTCCTTAGGTTCATTCATGGGGGCGGGTAATGTATGGGTTTATCCTTGTTTACGATAATCAACATAAATATTCGCTTATGGGTCTCTTTAATTGTCAAGATTAAACTGTGTAACACTGCTCGTGGGCTTTGGTCACGTGATTGCGTATTTCAGGTAACGCGAGCAGTCGAGACAAATCGATGACCCGAGTGGTCGCGTCTGGTCATGAGGTAGAAATTGCTTACAATATCATCAAATATGTATGTATTTCGACTTGATTGAACCTTTCTGTGAATCTTACATTATGAGTTTTCATCCGGTCGAATGCTTCGTATAAAGAGAGTAAATTAGAGCCATAATTAGTTCCAGATCAGCTTTTGACAGATGAAGCTCATTAAAGCAGTACAGGCTACTGTGACTGTTTCGTGGCATATTTTCAATTTATTTCTGCTTAAACTAGTAACAAGGGTCATTCTATCTATATTTTCTTATATTTACACTGATTTTTATACGCCCACACATAAGATGGGCGTATATTGTAATCACCATGTCGGTCCGTCCGTTCACACTTCGTTCGTGCTCAGTCTACAGGGTACAATTCTTTACAGATTCTTTTGATTGTGATTTTGTGTGTTAATGTCATTATGAAGATGATCCCTATCGATTTTCTTGATGATCGGAAAATTTTTCACCGAAATATCGTGTCTGACTTGACGTTTCACTCTATTAGCTATATTGTGCAACTCGTGTTCAATCATTTCTGACAGCTGCCAGTGGGCGTATGTATTCTTGCCTGGCAAGCTATCTTTACTGGTAAGGAAATTGATAATAATTAGTTCTTCTGTCAGTTTAGTCATTAGCATCATTTCAGTTGCAGAAATTGGTACCGGTAACCCAGTAATGAAGTTTCTAGGTAGATTCATACAATAACGGAACAGTAACCCAATGTCACGAGTTACACTCACAAATAGAGTTAATGGGCACCAATCCTGTCTTTATTGATTGGTCCAATCAGGTGCAGAGTATTAGGACGTCAAAATTTATTTCATTTCACTAACCATTAATCGTTCAGCGCGCTTCACGCTTTAAGGGTTATAAATCAGTCTTCATGAGATTCAAAATACCATGATTCGTTCTTGTATCAGTTTATCAATCAGGGTACATACACACAACAATTCATTGATTTTGGGTAAATAACTATGAAGTCCTTGGCAAGCAATTCGGAGAAAAAGAATGAAGATAATTCCTGGTATTTAAAAGAGGTAGACGTGGTTTATTGCTCTCATTAAAACCCATATAATATGATAATTAAAATATAAACATAGAAAGTGTTTGCTTAAAACCTACATTAAGAGGTCATATCCAACACGCGCATTTGATAATTGTCAATAAAAGTACTAGTTCATAATAAACACAGACTGGAATAACGTTGAATCCCCTACTTCCGGTTTGACTTCTTGCAGAGTTATCGTTACTTGCGACTATTTTATTTCTGTTTAACTCAATGTTTAATGTTTCTTTGTTTTGAAATACTGCTTTCGAACTAGCTGCTGTTGGCCAATTCTGTTGAAACATACTTCTCCACGACCATGACGGATCCGTGGCTGCGGGGTTACTCGCCCTTAAAGTACGTCCGGTTTCGAAGTCTCCACCATCGAAATCACCACATCGCGGGAAATTATTAGGTGGGCGTGGCATTTGATTTGTATGCCCTACTTGAATTATAAGACCCATGCCGATTTCAATATGAAATTCCACATGGCAATGAAACAACCAGAATCCTGGATTATCTGCATGAAATCTAAGGACAGTATATCCTCCGTCTGGAACTGTGACACTGTCTTTCTTTATAGCACCGTGTAACTTCCGTTCAATCAATCCTTGATTATCCAGATGGCGCACGTAGTCTACTGATGTCATATTACCCAGCTGAAACATAGATAGATGTGTTTAACTATTCTATTAGCATGCATATTTCATCTAAATTTAGAAAACAGCACTTCCAAAAGATAGAAACTGTTTGGTTGTTGGAAATATGATCACAGGTAAACTGGTCTCAAGAAGTAGATTAATCTGGTCTTATGCAAGATACCATAATAATGGAATAAGACCAATTTACCTTGTGACCAATTAATCTACATTCGATTGTCGAAAAAAGTCTATATATATATATATATATATTTGTATACCCTCCTTTTTACTAACCAATGTCGGATATTTAAGCCCACAAAATACCTACCCTATCCATTGCTACCACCCGGAATGCATGTCCATGTAAATGCATGGGATGATTGGCATTGAATGGAACACCTTCATCCACCATTACCAATTCAACTACATCGCCAAGCTCCACCTGTATTCTATGAACACACTGACAATATTCCAGTGAACAGTTCACTCTTAAAGTTTCATTGTTACAGAAAATAGACTCGTCCAGGTCCATCCATTGTCCAAGAGGGGGTGAAGGCGGGAAAATTGTTGAGATGTGATTCATCTGAGGCGACAACAACTTTTTCTGTTTCACCACATCAAAAATGGAGTAGAAGAGTGGATGATGAAAATTCTTGTTATCGATTACGTTGAAGTCCATAGCGATGTAGAACTTCTTATCAGGCTTCCATTTCAAAGCATCATCATCTTCTACCAAGGAATATAAACTTGTTAGAGAAACTCGAGTTGGTGATGCTCGACGATTCCAAGGGTTAAGACGCTGAAATTAAATAAAATCTTTGTAATGAGTTGAAAATGTTGAAAAAACTATCTTAACTATTCCAGGTCAATCTTCTCAATTCTTTGCAGTTACTCTCTTGACATATATATGTTGGATGATTTATCAAGAACCCTCGAAACAGAAATGCGAAAACCCGTCTCTAAACTCGTCCTCGGTCTTCATTCTATACATGTACTTCGTTGGATGTAATTCTGTAAAATGAAAATGAAATATAAACTACTCACCACACCTTCTCGTCTCCCAGCATCATAATCAGGTCTATGAGGACCAAACGAGATATCCTGAGCACCTCGGTATTTTAACACAGCGTGTTGCTTGGCTTGTTTAAACTGAGAACCACAATCTGCCAATCCACGAACGTGTATAAAATAATTATCCACTACTCGATCTGTCAGCACCACGAAATCATACCGTTCTCCAGCAAATATATTGAATGAGTTGACGATAACTGGTTGAAATGGATAACTATCTGACGCTATCATCAGCAACTGGTGGTCCTGGATAGAAATTTGTAGCGGACAGTTCAGCACGCCATTACTAGCGACCCGGAAGCGGTATCTCTTGCTCTGTTCCACATAAAATATTTCTGGTGGCGTCGTGAATTCTTTCCCTGTTATATGATCTCTAAAAGTTTCTAAAATACCTTTCCCTGGAATTATAGAGTTGGTCCTGTTACTTTCAAACTCAATGTTGACGAAATAACCGGACTAGAACAAACCTTCAAAAGAATGACTATGGAATTTTGGCAATTTTGATTCGATTGTGCAATTATTGCAGAGAAATGATGTACTTATTTTTTAGCAAATTCGTATGGTTTGCCGTGAAATGCCTTCATGAGGGTAATTAAGAAATCATTGCAAATAATCCAAGGTATGCGTACCGTTTATTAGAACTGATCGTGGTTTGTTGTCACCGTCATCATGGTGATGAGCAGCGAACTTCTGAATGGTCAATTCCTCTAACCAATCGTTGACGATTATTGTATGTTCTGGAAGATCGTAGTCGTAACGGTGGTAGTGCGGTTCTTTGGACGGTCGTTCTCGTATCACCAATGCTCCGAATATCCCATCTGATCTCTGGACACCAGAATGAGCATGCCAAAACATGGTACCTGCTTGTTTTGTTTCATATCTTAAGAAATAAGGAGAATATTCTTTAATTGTATTAATCATCCTATTTTAATATTAATGCTTCGATTTCAAAGGAAAAAAAGAAGAATGTCAATATATATCCTCCGTGGTGACAAATTGACCTTGGCACTACATGTTCGTTGGACGAACATTTATAAGCAAGTGATATTTAGCATGCACGACAACCCTTACCTGTATGTAAATGAGGTATGTGAAGCTATAGGACATTGAGTAACCATAGGAACACCATCCATAAACTGCGATCCGTGCTGTATAACACCATGCCAGTGTATTGTAGTTCCTTCAGCTCCGGCCAGTTTATTGGTCACTTTTACTATTATGATATCACCCAGACACACCTGTGATGTAAAGGTAATAACAGGATTAGGATCACAAGCTCTCAAAACTGATTTAAAAATCACAACCATAATGTGTAATTGGGTGTTCTGGAACTGTAAGCATAAGTGAGCTACACCCACCACATTACTTTGTAAGTTTCCATTTTTGTCGCTTCAATTGTGATACTTACATGTATTCCGGGTCCCGGTAACATTCTATTGGCCACGAGTACAGGTCTGGAGATGCCATCAGCCGTGATACAATGTTGTCGACTACAATCTGTTACATTGAATGGACAGTTATAGCATGCTTTACTAAGCGTATAGTAGTACTCGAGGGTAAAATGATAGTGACATTTCATTGGTACTGTATCGTCCTGACATTCTCGTTTACACGGATGGTTTGTATACGATGGAACTGAAACAAAATTGTGAAAAAATGAACTATTATATCGTTATATACAGGACCTGTTTGGTTTGTCCTCAGTACTGTTCAAATAATGACTTGATTCTAAGACAGTACAGTCTCCAGCATATCCCGAGTCTTCGACATGGTTTCTTCCAACACGAATTGGTCTTCACTTTCATTTTCATAGAGAATTTCTTGATTTTACAGCAGCATATCCTTTGTAGGGCTTCCTCTATTATGGCCTCATTTTACAGCAGGATTAACCTCGGCATTGCCTGTGTTTATAATAGAAAATTCTCCTATATGATCCGACATTATTTTGATTTTGACAGTAGGATTTCATCTGCCATGAATCAAAGATTTCCACTCGATTTTCCAAATTTTACAACATGATCTCCTTCAGCATGATCTGAATTTACTAAGGAAGTTTTTCGAGCTTGACCTGATTTTACTCCGTGATTTATTCCATGATTTCCATTGTCATGAACTGAATATTTTCTCAAGTATCCTATTTACCAACAGGATTTTCTTCAACATGACCTGATTTTACAATGAATTCGTCCAGCATAGCCAAGAGTTCCTGTAGCGTAACCTTATTTTACATAAGAAAATATGTTAATAGTTAAGAATTGCTTCTAATATGACCTTTTAATATGATTTTACTTTAAAATTTCCTCTAATGACCTGTTTTTACTTTTTTACTTTCGCATGACCTATTCGTTCCCCCAATCTAACCAGGAATTCCCTCCTGTATGACTGATGAGCATGATCTCGTTCTGCATCATAAGGGGATTGCCTCAAGTATGACACATACACTGGTATTGGTATTCGTAGCTCATATATAAAGGTATTTCTTTAAATTTGTGTCTGGAGTTGGCGAATCGATGAAAATTTTATTGTTTATAAGGATATTTAACATATTTTTGTGAGAAGTATTAACGCTATGTTTAATTCTATAAATAATACACACTAACTTTTATTTCCTTGTTTGTAAATTTTCTAAAGATTCCGTGATAAAGAGTCTAATGATAATAATCTAATCGTGAGTACATTGTATCTTTGTTATATACTGCCCAATCTCCAAGACGTTTTAATAATAATAAAGAATTGTTTCGCAGTTCTTTACTTAAAAGGTTATTAGGTATATACTTTCATATTAAGGTCAAATTTTAATGTTGTTATTCTCTTTGAATAGATGATACTGCAACCGAATTAATTAAAATGGGTTTGTAAAATGCTGACACCTTCACATCATTAACTTAACATTATCTTTTACAAATTCATTAATGTTCAGTTTTACGTCCCCTTTTCTACTTTTCTTAATGATTCTTTTATGAGTGAAAGGCTTTTTGTTGTCCTTATATATGGATATGTTTAACCAATGGTAAGCCTTCCTTATTTCAAAAACTGAAAGAACGCTAACCCTAACCCTAGCCGCATATACGGCATAAATCAAGACGCCATATTTTGTCTAAGTTTTGTTTTGTAATTTGGCGTTTGAAGAGCAAAAAACTTTAACTACTATAGATACTAAAATAAGTTTAGGTGTTTATGGAATTTGAAAAAGTCTTAGGATTATCAATGCGAACCTTTTGTTTATTAAAGTATTAAAATACTTGTAGTCTTTTATCATAATCTTAACTAAATATTAAAATGTAATACCTTGGTGAGATGGAGTAACACGCAATGGATTGTTTTAATAAAATAACTTTACCTATTGTGGTTTGGATTGTATTGTCTGAGACACACGTACATTATGTACATTGTGTTCCGGGCTGTGTGGGTCAGCCTGCTCGTGTTGGTCATAATCACAATAAGATGTTATTGAAATATGAATGAATTTATAAATTACTCAGTGGTTATTTGCATTGTATTTTTGTTATATGTCACCTGGCTAACATTTTATGATACTGTCTTACTTTTTTATCACAATAAACTTTTTACATGGCAAGCATTGTATTAACCAAAATATTTGTTATGAGAATATTTCCCATGTACATGTATACCTCAATATGGGTTATGATTAATTGAAATAAATTTTCCAAATTTACATCCTCTGTGTTGTGAGAAATTTACCATAGTTACTTTACCATGTATTATGGACAATTTTACAATATGCACCATAATATGCGTTATGTCATCATATTTGCCGCAATATTGAGAACATGATCCCAATTTTACCATGATAGACTCATATAGGCTGTGAGTACATTTCCCATATCTACCACAATATGGGTTATAAGCAATTTCAATATATTTACCACTTAATGGTTGTAGAAAATTTTGATTAATTTACCACTATATAGATCATTAACAATTTTAGTGAAAATCGGAATATTTGGAAGTACTTTTTATGTGTTGATTATTGTGAAGGTACCAAGAACCATTCAGACAAAATTTACCTAACAGTCAGATGCCACAAAATATTCAGGTACTTACAGTTATAAGCTAGAGAAGAATGCCACAATAATCCGAATATAATCCATTTCAACCTGCTGGCTAAATCCAAATTGCTTTCACTGTTCATATTACCTGCTTTAACACACCAAGTGGTGTAGGTCCTAACCATCTACACAAGTTTCTCTCAATACATGGAGGTTTTAAGTAACTGTATGAAGCAATCGCGTTTGTGATAATCTTCGTATGGCGGTTTAAGATGACATTTTTCTTATGTATTGAGGCGTAAACTCGCTGTATGAAAAAGGCGCATCCGGAATCAAAGAAGCTGGGAGAATAAGGCTGACAAAAAATATGCACCGTATCCCAAGCCAAATCAAATAATGTCAATAATTAACGAATAGAGCTTAGAGATCTGTCTGCCAAAACAAAAAAAACTTGATAATATACAGGGAAAGTCACTTCCACACTTTAATGTAGTTCAAAGTCGAGGTATGAAATAGACAACAAAAGTCACAAACATTGTGTCAACCTAAAACGCACAAAATTGAGCATACACAAAGTTTTCCTACAAGGTTATTATATATACCATGACGTTTAAAGTGACTGTATGAAAGATTCAGATTAGTTTTGACATCACTCAATGATGAATGACAAGGGGTGCTCCAATAACGCTGGTGTTTAATTCGCTGTACATAATATGTATATCAATGATATGATTTGAAATCTTAATCTGCATAACATTAAAACCCCAAAAGGTAATTGAGCATTGTCTGCCTTATTAGGCACTTGAGTCCGGTGAGTGTATTCACAACAGTAAAAGATCATTGAGTATCAAAATTAATGTTTAGAAAGATTTGAAAATACTCAAGTTCATTCAGCTTATAGATTGAGCATTTCTAAGAGAGTATCTAACATAGATATCTTTAGTGTATCATAAGTGTATGATAAGATATTAATGTGAGAGGTGCCTAGAAATGCGACATTCTTTTATGATCGGTTGAAATATCTGAAGATCCGTACTAGCCGTTTTAGTGATGGGTTGTCTCATATTGATGTTATTATATGTTATTATAAATATACTAAGTTGCAAATGTGATACGGCAGATGGTGGACATTTCAATCCATATGCTAATATTGTACAAATTCCATGAGAATATTTATATTAAAAACAATGAATGTCTGTTTACACCAAGTCTAATACCTAGCTCACTACTGTCACTAAAGTAACGATGTGAATTTATCTACACTATAAAAAAGTATAATGTCATTGTACACATCAGAATGTTTGTAAATACTATATTTTCTACTTAAAAGGTCATTGTTTTATATGATGTAATGCATGATAAACATTTTATGTGTAGGCCCCCAAAATTGGTCCACTTATGCATCTCTTGCACAGTGCGTTTGGTTAACCAGGCTTCTAAATCTAGAGAGTGGTGTACAAAGGGTCCAAAAGATCAGGTTCCACGGGATCTTAGTGTTGTGTGTTGACTAAGGTACGTCATCTGCACTTCAAGGCCTTGGTTTGCCATTTTCGGGGGTTGATTTTGGACGTTATGTAATAGTCTTCAGAAAAGACAATTTTGACGATGAGCTGTGAACATTACAAATGAAGGCTTAGCTTAAAAGAATCCTGAGACTAAGGTACGGTTGGTCAAATGGATGGTGATGAAAAGATAGAGTGTCAATGATAGTTTGAAGAATAAAGGCAAGGAACGGAATATTAGGAAGATTTCACACCAGCATGAACTCATCAAAAGTGCGATATATATATAGATATATATATATAATCTTAATACTTCATTAAAAATTCTATACAAATTATCAGCGCATAACTGAATTCAAAACTGATCGTTGAAATGTAACTCTAGTTATTTCAATTTCTGAAACTTTTTTGGTTTATAAACTGCAGGGTTCTTATTAATTACGTCTGTTGAATAATATTAGCTATGTTAATGCTTAATGTGTTCACAAATTTAGTGATTTATTTAAATCCGATATATTGGATAAATGGGTTTGTCCTTCTCACAAGCTACACCAGTCAACGCCAAAACCAATCAGACACAATCACTACTTGAGAGCTTGGCGTGAACGATGTATGACATAAATTGATCTCAATTCCACTAAGGCCTATATACCGACATTATTGGATTCAAACACCTTTAGTGGTCGAAAAATGCAGTTCTAATAGGTATAAGATTCATAAGCTTGATGTTCTTATCATTACAAAACTGTCAGTCTCTTTTTCACTTTGTTGACAAAACACAGATGCAGCTATCTATCTGACATTTATCAAAATATTGCTATAAGAGATCAGACGATCATTTAGGCGATATCTTCTTGTACAATATCAACAGCTAGTAGTTGATATTCACTATCTATTCATTATCATACTGGTTATAAATAAAGCGGAATAATAACACCATATAATAGATAATATATATTACGCGTTATATAACTTATATAATACATAGTGCAGTCCAAACAAATATTTAATTAGACCCTCCAAAGCGCGCCTATGTCACATAGCCACTCATCTCCTTCTAACATGCATCTTTTAAACTTGTTTAATTAACATAGTGGACGGTGTCATTTTTTCCAAGGATTCACAAGTGAAGGCCTCGCTTGATGTGCTGATAATTGTCACATCATATCAGCAATTAAATGAAATGAGCGGCATTAAAGGGACAGCATCAAAGCAAATCAATAATTTGATGAATATGGGACACGTTTTTAGCACGTGTTAAAGGGGGATATTGACAACTACAATAATAATTGTCAGACCACATCAAATATATTCAATTAGCACTAAATTCAATTTAGCACAAAATAAATTTGCACTTCGTCACATAAAGGGGGATAATAATATGTAATCAAGTCAGACCACATCAATATATTTTCATAATTTATACGAACATTTAGCACTATATTTCACAGGTTTAAGTTTCATTCTATTTACAATATTAATAACAACTTTCTTCCGACATCTTGTTTTACATCGCGACAGTTTTCTTTTTATTTTTTTCTCCGTTTTCTTATAACGTCCTGGAATAAATATGATTATTCTACATACAACAATAATTAAATAGAGATACAATGCAATATTTTGTAATATTTATCTGATGTGTATCTTAAAACATTCATGGGTAAGCGAAGCTTAAGGTCATATTTTTGTTGGCGTAATGCAGGGGAACAAGATGCGTCAGCAACCCTGCGTCATTGATGAATCCCAGTCGGTTATGTGTATTCAAAGAAGAGTTCAATACACATTCAAATCATTCAGATTGTCTACTTACGTTCATTAGTAGCACCTTTTATTTGTAGGAGTCGATATTTACTGTTGAAATCTATAAACCCTAAAACTTCACTTATACTTTCTGGCAGTCGACCTATAAACAATTCTTTTTTAATAAACTTGGATAAATACAGCATATGTTGTTGATATTAGACGCGAAACGTAGATATAACTACCAGCCATGCACATCACATTGTTTGAAGCGGCGGGTGTATTTGGTAAAGATTTTCTCAAGAATGCACAATCCAGAAAAGCTGTTGCCAAATTATGGATGATACACAGGGCTCTGTAATTCCCAAAGGGCTGTTTCATTATTTACCTTTATTTACAGTCCAAGTGGTCACCTCGACCCTTTTCTCCTTCATCATTTTAAAGGCGAGAATGATTCTTGTTTTCTCCTCACTGTAGTAGACAAATCTGTCAGTTTTCTTTGGTAAACATGGCGGGCCTGATTGGCCAATTCCTGCTACTTCATCAGGTTTTCCTCTTTTATCTCGATCTAAAACAAATCAAAATAATGAAATATGCATAGGAATAGAGAAAAATGGCATTAAATATATTATTGGCTAGGATTTCTGAAAAGCCAATTAAGAATTTCTACGAGCAATAACTGTATTAATTTTTGTATTTGTCTCCCCTTAAACAAGAGCACATTTCTATACACATTTTGATGCAAGCATATTCAAACATAGAACAGATTGAATGCGCGAAAAGAATCAAAACTCTAGTATCCTACCTGTTTTCTTCTTCCGTTTCTTATTATTTCCTCCATTCTTCTTCTTTTTCTTCCGTCTCCCTTTTTTACCATTTTTATTTTTCTTATTCCGCCTCTTGTCCGGACAGGATTTACAACAAACTCCTGGATCCTGTCTGGGTCTTTTACAGGGAAGCGAACTATCTGGAGGACACGTCTCCCGTCTACACTCTGTTTTTCCATTCTTAAATATCAACATTCAAGACAACCTTTAGCGATACCGCTCTATGAATTTTCACCACTGAATTCACATAATAAACATACATAATAAAATGCGGTTCTGGGTCAATATAAGATGTTTTCTTTAAAAAGAAAAAGTTACCAATTTAACCAATTTATTTTTCATCTTAATTTTTCAGACCTTTATTGATAATTTCTTAATCAGAACAGTAAAGTTTATTTGTCGAAATCAACAGATATCCAGACTTTAGAGATTGTGTCAGAGAAACTACAATGCTGAAAATATTCACCGTTAAACAGCGACAAGTGATACATTTCATTTCACCAAATATACCAACAACTGGATGCCATGAAGTACCATTTTCTTTATATCCCATCGCTTTACAACCTGTATAATATATAAGCTCAAAGTTTAATTAAAATTAAGGGTCATTTAATATTCCTTGAGCATCCAATTCGTGGATAATCATTGTACTGTTGCTCGGCACATGTAATCGAACACCTCAACAAGCATATACATACATGCATACTTTCCAGCCTTACTTCAGTTGGTCGAGAATCTGGTTATATAATTTTCGAAAACGGGTATGTTAAAATCGCAATTGATATAGACAGTCTGGCATCCAGGTCGTTATTTGTATGTTTACATAAAGCTACATAAAAGATATCAAGATACTCTAGGAGAACTTTAATGGCGAATTACAAACCAAACCAGAAACTTTTATTAGCTAAGATAAAGTTTGACTAGATGGAAAGGCATAAAGAATTGATTGAGAGATCGAACTATATAATGATATTTCATGCAAGAGGTAACTTACCATCACGTGTTTTATTTTTCACAGCACCATCTGATAAAACAGCATCTGGATCATCATCATACTCCATTACATCATCTGGAAATTATACATCAGAGTAAGCTGACAGTTTGGGAGAAGGAAATGGTTCTTTCACTATTTGCTACAATGACTAAAGGATAAGGGAAATATCCGGACATGGATGGGTGAGGACGCTAATTTTAACTCATTGTCTGTGGTCTTAATGAGAAAAAAGTAATTGAATGACGTACAATTACATAGATGTCAAAGGTGTCCATCCTTACCTAGTTGGGTCATACCAGCACATCGTGGACAACAATCATCATCTGTGGTGATTAACTTCATACATTTTACAGGCAAACACGTTTTGAGATGACACAGAACATGACCCATCTACAAAACAAGTGATAAACCCATAAAGTAATGCAATACTGTTGCGGGTGTCGTATATGAGAATAATGCCATTCCCTTTCGGAGGGTCTATTATTTTTGCTAAATTCGTGAAAACCCGGGTTTGACAATGGCAGACTAAAAAAATCCTCTTTTGGGAATCCATACTTTCACCCAGGTAATAAATAGAGGCACTTTAAAACCAATGTGGTAGATTAAACATGTTACTTACTGAACAGACACACATGACACACTGGTCATTGCGAGTTGGTTTCAGACCGGTTTTATTGGACGGAAACACATCACTGTCAGCATATTTGGCACCATTAAATACACAACCTGGTAGCGGTTCATCAGTGGGATCAACTTCCGTCACGTGGTCTGTAGGAGGAAGGTTGGTATAGTCTAAACAATAACATGCAGAACACAAAACAACAAACACAAACTAACAAGCTGTTAAGGTTAACTGGTTAGTGTTGGCTCAATGGTTAGTTTTCATATACAGGTTAATGTTAAAGTTTGTGGCACCTTTTCGACTATTCAAATGGTTATCACTCAAATGTGTTCTTGGTGGTTTAAGGCATGGTTTGGTGTGAGGTTCATGTTTGGGCTTGGCTTGATAGTGGGTTCTTGTGGGTTAAAGTTCGAATTGTTAATTTTAATTGTTCAATTGTAGTTATAGGGTGCAATTATTTAATGGTAACGTTTCATGGATTAAGGGTTAAGTTTCATGGTAACTATTCATTGATGAAGGTAGTAGTCCAATGGCTACTTTTCATGGACGTCGTCATTTAAGTCTATAGATGTCTTTTCTATATATGTAGGCAGTGTCTCATAAAAGGATGATTCGTCATTTTAACTTTCAAACGCGGATAATTCTAGACACACATGTATTTGAAGGCACAAATTTTCAAGGTGAGCTGTGGCCAATATTACTGATTGACTTGGCTAAAAAAATATCCCGTTTCTGAGACCTAAGTGTGATCAAAAATGGCGCAATTGTTCCTTTAATTGAGAAGCTCAATAGTTAGTTTTCTTGGGTTTAGGGTTGTGGTGCAAGGGTTAGTGAGTGTTTTGGGCGTGGCTTAATATTGAGTTTTCGATAGGTAGGCTGGGGCTCAATTGGTTTTCTTCATGGGCAACGGCATGACTCTTTTGCAACTTTACTTTCGGTTTGTTAGGTCACGAGATTAGTTTGGTGAGAAAAATATGAAAAGAAAGCAACATTCAAACAAGTGCGATGTACAAGGAATGATGTTAAAATAAGTTAGAAAGAAAATATTCTTGATAAGTTTAGATCTAACTACCTACAGTTCTAGATTTATCAACAATACACAGACAATAGTAGGTGTAATTAAGTCAGTAATTAATAAAAGAGAACTGGTTGAAACATGTTCATAATAACAGATAAGAATGAAGCTGTCAATACATGCATGCAAGTAGTTTGAATTATTTGATGGAATAGATTTATTTTAAATCGTGAAAAATATCTAAAACTTTAGATATGTTAAACTATAATATTAATAATATTTATGAACAACCTGGTCGAAACCACTGGTTTAAGTGTACATGTACTTAAACAAGATACATTAAACGACAATGTTTGGATTCAAGAAATTCTTAATGATAAAGATAAAAGCATGCTAAATGTGATGCAGACAGTGATTCTTGTGGAATAGTGCAAATATATTTCAAAACATGTACCTATGCAGATTGGGCAGCATTTGCCCGGTCGATGTACGGGTACTTGACATTTTGGCCGTGGACATTTCTCACTGACACACTTTACCTCACCATCCTGAAAAATTACACAGACAGACATTTGGTTGGTCGGTTGACATAATGATTTGTCAATCCTGTACGAATCAGAAACACAACATGTTAAGCATAACGATATTCTGGTTGATAATGGTGGTAACATTATCACTAATTTGTTAAGTTACATAAGAACTTGTCCAGCCTATAAGAGTTATTTAAAATCTTAGTTTTCATGGATTCTGTTTGTTGAATTTAGTCCTCACCTGATTACAAGTACAGTTGATACAAGGCATACGACCAAACGGTTCGAGTACTGGATGCCATGAATCACCAATTTCATACTTCCGGTTGTCCAGAAAACACGTCTTCGACCCTGAAGAAATCACAGAAGATAAAATGTTTATGAATTATTGTCAAGCTGTCTGTGTACATTCGGGTCCGATTCAAAACATAAACAAGAGCAGTCAACTTTACAGTGAGGTAGTTAAATACTGATGTACACAACATTACGTTTGACGTTTGACGTTTGACGTTCATTAAAACAAACTCTTAGTGAAGGAACTTTCAGACGATTGTACCCCTTTAATGTCTAAATATTTCTCAATATTTTAACCAGAAGAATGTTTGGTCATGTTCAACCGTAATCCATTAAGAAGATAAAAATGTTTAATACCCAACCCTGATTCAACCTGTTCATTTACCTAAACAGAAGCTTACATTAAACTGTTGATTTTGCTGTTGAAATTATTTGACTATACGGGGTAACGGTAATTAGGGAGAGGACCTGGTCGAGAGACACTTTACCTCAAATATTTCAAATCATACCATGTTTGATTAATACTGAAAACAACTCTTTTAGAAGTGAAACACCCTTTTCTGAATTACAAGAAGGGTAACAAAGGAGTTTTGTTTGGTGAGCTAGCACCGCGTGATTCGACTCTGATGCCCGAGCTGGTCAATTGTTGGATGAACCATATTACATATCATAGATCTAAGGCCGAGGAAGGTCAGGCTAAATTAAAAGCACTAAGGGTAGGAATTATTTATTTGTTTTGTTCAGAGCTGCAAAACTCAATTGAAAGTCATGTACACAGCTGGTGGCCAGGGCAGTTTTCAAAGTCATTTGGCAACCTAAATTCAAACAACCGACGCAAAAAAATGGTTCATGCTTACTGTTAAGGAACAACTCACGTCACATCTCTACTCAACTGAAAATATCTATTGGGCATCAATTTCAGATATTCCACATATCTATTATGTTTATTTCATAATTTTATTACGTAATGTATCAGAGTTTACGTCACGATCCGAGTACACCAGTTCATCATTTTACGACGAGTAATAATTGATATGAGTCTGTCTACCCCTCTTTAAACTAAACTAAACTAGCAAATTATAATAGAGAAGTGAAGTGGTAAGACGGCCGACTCTATATGATAATAGATTAGAGTTTAATAGACGAGATCTTGTACTAATCTTTTTAACAATATAAACCACTTCCAACTGTCATATAGTCTTAATGGTTTCTACAAGTACCTTATAACTTAAATACAAACATATACATGTACCGACTATGCCGTGCTACTGCGTTTTAGCCATCATCTTATTCTAAACAGCGAATCCATAAATTTACCTTGATATTTCGATATATTTTCTGTTTTAGCAACGTCATGATAATATGATTGCTTACGAGGAAAACGTTTGATTAACAGCTATATCCAAATACGAAAAGGCAGCGTCGTAATGCATCTGTAAGTGGAACTGGACGGATGAGCTCAGTTGCTGATGATATAAGATGCTAGAAAAACTGTTCCACCAACAACACCAATCACCAAGCCTCTTGTCAGACTTACTTGGGGCCGCGTTGGCTCAGTGAATTGAACGCTTACTAGCTAACCCGAGGTGTTCACTCTCTAACATAGGCCGAAATGTACCTTCAGATTTTGCAATCTGGTTCTCTTTGCTGGTGATACATGTCCCACCATATAAGATGATAGATTATTATACAGAATCACACTGAAATTATCATGATGATTTTAATAAGACCTTATCTTACCTGTTACAGAATGGAATGATGTTGTTAAACAGAAAGTTGTGAACAATAACACCAACCAATACACCATCATACTGAAAATAGTAACAGAACAATATTCAGTCTTGGCGCACTGTGACTCATGTTGCTAGTCTAAATTACTCTAGCTTTCCTACTTCAGATGGTAGCCATGCATTGACTTACAATGTGCAAACGTTACGATAAATAACCAAAACGAAACCTTGAAACTTATCTCTATTTTAATGAAATTGGATGAAGAAAATTTCTTTCTATGGAATTATGCTACATTTAAAAAATAGGTTTCGGTTTGTCCCGCGATTTGACGCAGGGAGACGTTAATACATTTTATCTTTCTAGGAAAGATAGTGGTGACTATAACTTAGATATATGCATTATTTTGATGATAGTTTGCTGATTTGACATAACTTGAAAAATATTGTATTGCAGTTTTTTTAGAACATTTTTAACAAGCTCCGACTGAATTGTTTAATATATCTTATTATTTTAATTACAGGCCAATACATTATTCACAAAATATATGTGGCGATTCTCTTTAACGGTCACGTCGTTGTGGTGCCAAATAACTCACTTGAATGAAAGAAATAAAAAGTGGAAGAATTCTGGCAGTGGTAGAGATGCCTGCTGTGATTCTTCACATTAAAAACATGCAGTAAAATAAACTAATGAATTTAGTTAGTATAAATAAAGAGAATTTCATTACTTCTCTTTAACCGGTTTCAAGTCGACAAAAATCAAGGTGACCCTTTATTCCTTTATATAGACTGATAAGAGCCATGTATTTCTCCAGGCATTTTCACTTTCCTACACTTTCTGTTTCCAGCGTACATGTAAACGCCATATTAACGATATCAAACCATTTTTAATTTTTAGAATACTTTTGATATGTATTTCATATAGAAGATCAACTGGAGTGAAGTTTCTCAAACCTACGTCCTGATATTTGGTACCTTTTTGGCTCAAAATTAAAATAAAACATCTCATCTCCCATGACACGCGATTTTAGGTTAAATATTGTACATGTACATCATTAGAATTGCATAATAGTAATTACGTTACTCTCGGTTTGATTACGTTACAATATCCGTAATAAAAAGGAAAATGAAAATAAATATTGCGCAGTTATTCTGGAAATCTGAACATATGGTAAAATAAAATTTAAGAGTATAGAATAAGAATTGGTATTCCTTGTAAGATAAATAGTAACACCAGCATTTCGAGAACATAAATTATGCATTTTTGTAGATGACGGTCAGAACGGTATTGTACTTAATGAACACTCTCTTATCCTTCAACAACACCTGAGGCCTCCGTGTGTATCGATCAACATATCAAATATTGTGTATTTCCAGATCCAGGCATATTATATTTAAAAAGACATGGCCAAAACAGTCACCCTTGTCTTATCACATCAAAGATTATTACCTTATATTGGCGTGAAAGCCCTGGAATACATTACTGTCTAGTTCAACAGAAAATATGTTGCTTGGAGGCCCCCAGCCCCCACCCTTTCCACGCTTTAGCCTTGAGCTTCCGAAGTTCACGTGGACGTACATGGTGGTTATTATCTGGACAATTTTTTTACGAAAGATATTAATTGGTAATAAGTTGTAAATTTATGTTCCTGACTCGGTGCACTTTACATTACAAACGTTCTTACATCATGTTACCTAATGTTCTTGTGGAAGCAAAATTACAAATATCACCAGAATTGAATTCATTTACAAATAATCAAAAGGACACGGACAGAACATTCAACCTTGCTAAACTTATTACACAAATGTGGCTGTTTCAGGCAGTGGCGGAGTCAGGTTTACGTCCGAGGGAGAGAGGGGGCGAAATATCTAAGATTGCCCGAATTTCTAAAGCTCTCGGGGCCCCCTCTGCCCCCACCCCACCCCCTATGGCTCCACCACTGATTTCTGTCACTTTCGGATTCTACCATTTACTTCTAGAGTTGCTTAATTTCGCTATCTGATATCAAGAATCTAAGCAAACGGATTCTACATTTAATCTTAAGATATTGACAAGTGGTTTTAAATGACTTAAAACACATGAATATGATCTGTTCGCTTCACCACAGTTTGGAATTCTTTTCAGACAATTCCCGATCAATTTCTCTGTTTAATTCCGTTATATGTTGCCAAACATTGGTGATTTAGAAGCTACTAATATTGCAGAATCTTGGACTGACTTTTCTAGAAGAATACTTTGTTGTAAAATTTAATACTAAAAATACCTACCGTTGTATCCAACACATCCAAATTCAATCCACCATAATTAATAATTTTTAAAGATTACAGATAATTCTTTGGCTCGAAATACTTCCTTTCTCTTTGGATAATATGTTAACACTTAAACTCTTAAAAATACTTCAGAATGCCTAACAGAAATCGTCCTTAGCAGAATTTAATTTTGTTGAAATATTCGAATTCATCAATTTATGAACGTACAACATTCAAAAAATATTTGTGAGACGGGTAGTCGCTATGTGAATATAAACATATAAAGTTGCACACTGTAAGGCGACTATAATCTTCGATTCTACTGATAACATACAATCCACATTTCCTAATCTATGAAAAATAACTTTCCACAACACTGCTTTACTCTGCCATCCTTAGCATATCCAGGTATTTTTCTTTGTATTAAATAAATTGAGAAGAGATATTAACGAGTCAATAATTAACTGTATACTATTATACTAGAGGTATATAGACACAATGGAAAAAACATATTTTCGTACGCTTAACAACTGCAGAATAAACTATTTGATTCCTAAGTTTGTGTCCAACTCCGTATATCTAAATCTTAACTTGTGATGTTATTTATTTAAGTATTGTTATTACCCTCCCTCGAAGTCGACCGACCAACCGACCGACCGGCCGCCATACATCGTCAAGATTACCTACTAATCAGTGTCGTCTGGGAGTCGCGTGCGTGTAACGTGAAGATGTTCTAAAGAGAAGTTAAAGATGCTATCTATTGTTATTATATCCATTACAAGTCAACATCAACTCAACTTCAAGTCACCGAGGCATTCTTCTACTGTCAAAAACTACCTTTTCTCATATTATCGTTACCATGTCAACCATGGCAGCCATTTTCATAATTTTGACAGACGATGACTTTTATTCTTGTCTGATTAAATGATCCTATCTTTCTATTATCATGAAATTAGTTGGAGCTTTCTTACCATCATGTAGTTAAGAAGATAGCCATCTTGTCCGACTTCAGTCGCCATCTTGAAATTAGCCGTCTGCTTATACGAGATTTAAATAATGATTTATCATAAAATGTATCTCATGTCCATTCAAATTTGAAACATCCTGTGGTTTTTAAAATCTCTTGTCTAAAACTCACAACAGTTAAACCATTGTTTTCCCACAAAAAAAACATCCATTCTCCTTGACAAGTTTATGATTACCAATTTTTTGATGGAGATCCGGTCATTTCATGTGAATATTAACGTTCTGATTTGACTCTAAGATTAAAGGTAATGTGGCAGCCGATAGACGTTATCGTTAAAAAGAACTGAAATTGGCACGGGTTCTGTCTGATTGGAATAGGTGAACCAAAACCACCCAACATTAAAACATTTTTTCTGGATCTCTTGATGGCTGACAATTCTTACTAAAACCTACGATAAGCAAGATACTATCGTATAATGCATAAGTTTATGTGTTCGTAGTCGAACCAGATATCATTCCTTCCATCATTCTGAAACAGTGGCGGAGCCAGGTTTACGTCCGATGAGGGAAGGGGGGGGGGGGGGGGGGGTGTGTGTCGGCGAAATATCTGAGATTGTCCGTTTTTCTAACCTAGTTATGCGATTCTAGCTCCCCCTTTTGCTCCGCCACTTTGCTGAGACCTAATTCTAATTTGGATAGTAATTTGTTACCTTTCAACCACCCTAATCTCTAATTAACGTATCAAACGCCAGTAAACTACCGAACACTGCTACATGGACAGTTAGCGATTGGAATACAAAAGCCATGACACACCCTGGATTTCACAGATGTATATATACGTGGCAAGAGTTTGCCGAATTATTTCTTGGTTTTCAGAAAAGCAATCCGTTCGGGCTGAAAGACACACCTAGGTAAATCTATCATGTAGAATGTAGAAAAGTTATCGAGTTCGAGTTCGATTTTCCACTTTTCTATCAAGGTAGCACGGACCACAAAGGACTGTCTAATTGCGTTTTTTTAAATAAAAAGTTATATAATGTAAATATATAGATATCGCCAGATCAAAACCATTCACATTAAATTTCTCTCAAATTTTTTCTAGTGAGTTAAACTGGACAAAATTAACTGGGTTGGTTAATTGCCTACAGTTTTACTTTAAACCATGAAATTTCAATTGCGTCTTTACATTCTGTCCTTGACTCGCGCCTGTAGCCTAAAAGGTAGGGTAGGCGCAAGCTATTATAAACATATAAAACGATTTGTAAAATGCATTAACGTTTTTACTCGCGGCGACTGTGTAGAAGGAATTCACATTAGGACTAACTGCATTTTAATTGTTTTACATTATTCGTGGTCCGCTACTTTAAATCCAATCACATTCTTCGGTCAAAAAATATCCTAATTTATAACATGGTGAAAAAATCCTGACTAGACTTCAACAAGCGAAAAACTTTTATGTTATTTTCGATAAAACACGTGAAAAACACGATATTGAGTCAGACAATGTATACAAGTTGGCCCTAAAATCGTCGAAATAAACTTTAATAGATTGGAAAACACTCAATTCTGAACGCCATTTCTTTACTGACGCCGCTTTTCGCGCCGAAATGTCCGACGTTTTGTAGACGAGCATGCCAAGACGATTATATTACATCTCATGCTATAGTGAAAAGACTGGATAAGAGTGAAATGGTGTCTGGATCTACTGCCAAAATGATAGAATTAAGAAGGTATTTGAATGAGTGTTTATTTTTATGATTAAATGATGTGAATAATAACCATCGTTTTTCACACCTATCAATTATCTCTTTAAAGGTACATTTTCCTCTAATCAGTCACTTAGATATAATATACAGTCTACAAGACTGGGAAATCGAGATCAAATTATCCATTTTTGCTGGAAGTACAGAACAATTTGCTTGAAAGTTATATTTGAGCATGGCATTGTTTTAAATTAAAAGGAAATACTTATAGTTCAATAATGCGAAAACTGTCAGAAGACGCCAAATGCTGGAGTATTTAATACCTTGAATGGTTCAGAATATCACATCTTCAAAGACCAAAGGCTAGATATTCGCTACGGTGAGGTCCTATCATACGCAACTGGAAATTCGAGAAAAATCAACTGTGGTCAACCAAGAATCTTATAAGGTAAATGAAAGGTCATTGGCGCACACCTTTTTCAGAATAACGTTCTAATCTCATGTTCACCTATTAATTTTCCCAATACCTTAGTATATCTGTTTTATTTCACATCATCGAAGTCTGCATCATGTATGAATCAGTGTTCATAATGGGAAACAAAATTTCGCACTAAAAAATCATTTTGTTTTTTTTTGGTTGGGGGGGGGGGGGGGGTATTGATGGGGGATGATTTCAGGAATACTTCAAAAATGGTGTAAATGTCGTCTGTTCGCTTATGAAGAGACTACAATTATTTTATCACAGACGATTTACTCTTCAAGATGTTTTATAAATGTTTATATAAATTGTCTTCATAAAGAGACTTGAATATGCATGTAGACAGAAATTTATTTATCTTTTCAAGTAGCAAAGTGCAGTTATACGGCCCCTAAATTTACCGTTGAAAACTTTAATGATATGAAATTATCCACTTTGTCTGGTATTGTGAGTTACAAGGCCGACTGTATAATTGATACATAATTACTGTAAGGCGGCCATAGAATATCATTGTTATAGATAAAGATAAAAGTATTATACTTGTTTAGCTATATTCAGCTATATAGCAAGTTCAGTATTCACAATTTAATTTTACCAAACCTGTATAATATATAATTTGGGTTTGGATGGCGTGAGTGAGTGCATCTGCCCGACATTTTTAATGTTTTTGGGGTCAGCCGAAGCCAAAATTCAAACGAGACATTGGGGCTTCATGACATTACAAGATGGGATTTTAAATATAGAGAGAGCATGAAATTCACAATTCATCAGGTAATTGAATAATGCATCACCAAACAAAAACACGTCCCAGTATTATCAATTTAAGAATGTAGGAATATTCAGAGCTAAATCATAATCCAAAAACGCTCTATTGTCAAGTGAAAAGCAATAAATAAAAAATCAAATGGATATACAACATATAATTGATATGCATGAATTATCATAATCAACGGGTGAATATTATTCTACATAGTTTCATAAAAATCTCATCTCGTGTGGTCCCTATCAAATACTCAAGCTCATTTGGCTGGTCATGGGAATTGTTTCCTAATCTTTTTTTTTATCGAAACCGATGTTTTTAGAGATATCATCAATATTCATGCATTCCTATATATTTCTGTATAGGATGAATGTTGTAATTTCAAAAGATTTAATAGACAAACGCACATGGATGACGGCAATATACGACCATATTTGGTGTATGAACGTATAAAACTGCAACTTTGATGTTATTGTTTATCTTACTCGTTTATACTAAGGTTCGGGAGCATGTACGAAAATCAAATTTGGCCAAGATCATTTTGTTTTTCATGATTTCTGTTTTATTATTTATATTGACCGGTCGTGGTTGTAAATAGCCAATAAAGTTGGTCATAAAAGACATTCCTGTCCAACTCCCTTATTAACCGGATGATCACAGTAGTTTGTAGGATGTGATGGTATTCGAAATTAGCAACTTACATTATTTCAAAGAATGGAGAACAATCTTGAATAGTTTGTGATAATTAACCGAACGTAAATTCTTATTCAAGAGCAGATCGTGCTGATAACTTTTCTAAATTGAAATCACTAAATATGATATAGTTTTTGAATATTCGCTACAATAACTCACTTATCACTTTTCAGAACATATTCCGGTTCCTCGAGAATTGAATCAAATATTGGCGAACAGTGTGGGTTTACCGGGACTAAATTAACTTTGTCCCAGGCATGTTTTGACGCGGAAGTAAGAAAGAAAACTCCACAATAAGTATAAGTTATCCCAATAAAGTCAGTAAAAATGGGTTTGTGTACAAATTGTTGAATTCAGTATTGGTACCAATGAATAGCTAGGTATAGAAAAATATAACAATCACATACCTGTCTTAATAGTTCAATCTTCACCATATTCTATCATTTTAACCCGAGCAGATATTCGTCAATATTATTTCAACTAATTTAAGATTGACGTAGCCGCTCCTATTTGATAATGGCACCCCTGGGTAAATACGGCATAAATTAGCACCTCTTAGTCCACGAATTTTTGCCTTATTCTTTTGATGTTGCCGCCAATAGAGAATATTAGCCAATTATTGAATAATGATGTGGGTAAATCACGAAGTGGTACTAATAATCTCTGATAACAGTCTGGGATTTGGCCTTAAAGAGGCGGATATGGTCGGCGTCACACAAAACGTTTGGTTTGTACTTGAAAGATATTGGACGTTTCACTAAACGTTATAAACGTTAACGGGCTAATGGTAACGTTATTGAGAATGAATTGTTGGGTAATAGGCTCCAAGAAGTATGTTGAGGTTAACATGCACCGTCGTGTCAATAATTCAGATGTTTATATTAGTGGTAATTACGGAGAATATACCTGCATATATCACAAAGCTTATACAAATCATGGACTTATTCACAGGCGGTTATATGGCAATTCCGTTCAGTTGTCGGAAAATTAATTCCAAAGCTTTAACTTTTATCATTCGCAGAACACATTTTAAGCATATTTTTTTAGATCATTTTAAAAAGAATTCAAACAATCCGAGTTGTCCTTTTGATAAGTTCCGATTTAAGAAGTAGTCTCCACCAACCGGACATTAAAGTTGAACTGTCGGAGAGTCGGTGTAGCCGTAAAGCGAGGTATGTGTATATTGGAGTTTATAGCGGCCAGTATGGGGTAAGAAATAGACGTTCAGGCTAGACTGAGTTAGATTGAATTAGTCCTGTAGACAGGTATCCAGCCTTTCAACCATTTTAGGTGTGAGTTAACGAGGAAAAGGGGGTCTACACGGCGACTACACTCACTCACTAGGATCTATGGCGACATCACTAGGGGAGGGGGCGAGAAATATTCCCTCTTGGAGCCGGTTTCCACATCAAACGGACAAATACCTAAAGGCACATTCAAGCGTTTCGTTTGAAGAGTGTTTACTATTGCCAACAGTTTTCTCCAAAAAATTACACATTACTATAGCTAAAAATATTAAAAAATATTGAAATTTGAGCCTAGTCAACCCGGAACAGGGTTACTTTATTGTGGTTGTCTTTTCGATTAAGTAGTCATTATAATGCATTTTCCCCGTGGAAAAATGATTTGTACCAATTTATTCAAACCAATTGAATTTTTGCCCTAAACTATGTGTGCCAGAATGCGCCAAATCAATTTTATTTTTCAACCATTTTCTTAAGAGAGCCCTCTCAGACGATCTTAAGAAGGCTCCACAGAGCAGCAGCATTTTGAATCTGAACTTTTGCAGTTGTTACCCCCATTTAATCAGAAGGTGGCGATGCAAGTGGTGCAAATGGCGGGGATGTATCCCATAAAAATTGAAATCAATTATCCAGACTGGTATTTTAATCAAATTGTTTGCCTTCTATCGTAGGCCTATTTGTCTTGGACTTAACTGTCAATGTTAAACAGCAGTTTAAGATCGATGTGGAAATCAACCTTAACATTAACACCGGACCATATTAGGAGACAAATATCCTTATTCTTGTCTTTACAGTTAAATGTTTATATCACATTAAATAGACATCTACAAACAAAACGGTCGAGACTTTTCTCCAATTACAAAAATTTTAACTCATCCAGTTCGATCAAAAGTAAAATGTAACTGACGAGTGTATAGGCAACATTTTTTCACTAGATTCCATTCTTAGGCTACTTGTGTACATGTATGTTAATTTTTTTAGAAGGATTGCTACAGAAAAAGTCGGCATGAAATGAAGCGAGATAGAACCATTGGAATATGCGAAAAGTCATAAATCCGATACACAAGTCCTATTTGGCAATAAGCATATCAAAGTAGAAAGTCATCCCCACATCTATAGAGTTATATATATTTCTATTATATAACTCTATGCCCACATCAGAAGAAACACCGTTTAAAGGGAAGTAATCGTTTGTATTAATACAGTCCACAGTAATGTCTTTCATTTCAATGAGGTTTTTACTAAGCATTGACCATGATGTAACAGAAAACTATTCAGATTTCATAATCTTTATTGTAATATAATCCAATAACATTAATAAACTTTTAATAAGATTCTAGATATCGTCTGATAAATGGAGTTTACATCTACATGTCTGACAGATATCTGTCAGCTAGAGTCAGAACAAAGGCACTAAGGTTGTGAGCATATCAAAGGAATCATTGAAGCATTTTATATAACCCAATACATTTTTGATACTTAGTTATCAAAATACCAAATAACCACTGTGATCTGGATTTTCTGAAGGAAGCTGAGGTTAACTAACAAGTCACAAAGCGACATTAAGTACTGCATAAGCATTTTCTATCAAGAAAAAAAACATGTACCAGTACCCTTGCAGAATTGATCATCTCTGACAAAAGAGCACATGTCAGTGCTGATAATTAACTTGCATCATGTTTAAAGATAACAATGTTACAATGAGTAAATCTCTTGTAACTCAACAATCCGATAACATACAGATTAGTATAACAATCAAAAACCTTTTCTAGCTAAAACCTGCAAAGATTTTCAATTGCAAACATAATTTGGAGACAACATTTTAAACTTGAAAACTATTAAAATATATTTTGAAGTAAAAATAGCAATATATTGTAATCAGTTTTCAGAGGTCATAGACTCATTTACTTAATTTGGAAGCAATATCTTGATCATAGAGGAATGTTTTATTATTACTATTAAGAAGGTTGTTCAGCTTTTTGAAAGACAAAAAATACACTGTCATATTCATAACGAATCATTGAATTAGGATTCTGAATATATGTCGTCCTCATTTCAGTTTGCTCTTTTTTTAAGATAAAACCGAAATCTATAACAACTTGTTTCACTTCCTCATAACTCAACTCTATCGAACTTTCCACGGCACTGTCTGCAAAATGATACAATAATGGACCCAAATTGATCCAATAACCGCCTGGTTTAAGTATGTGATAAATCTTTTCAATATAAGCAATGATGTTATGAGCTGTATCAATAAAGAAAACTGATGCCACACAATCAAATACTTCTTTATCTGTGTATACTTCCAGAAAATCTCCTGCAGCCATTGAGAAATTCTTCAGAGGAGGTCCTTCCGATGGACAAACATCTGGAAAGGTAACCGGTGCTGTCTGATGATCATGGCTCTTGTTATTTGTCCACTCGTGAATCCAGGGATAGATCGTGAAGCTGTTCTTATTACAGCATTTATTCAAAACAAAATGGGATGCTATAAGCATGTAGAGACTCCATTCATTGCCCTGACAAACATATCCACGGCTAGCAATTTCATAGGCAAGACGACCCAGACCCGAACCTGGCACTAATATGTTGATTTCGGAAGGGTTGCAAACATCAGATCGATACAAACTTTCGATTTCTTGAAGCACTGGTTCATAGCATGCTTTTCGTTCTTTTTCACCAGCAGCGCTCCAGTCTCTAACAAACTGTTTAAGTGTCGTTTTTACACGATCAACATCTTGCATGCTCGGAACTGTTCCCTTCAAATTGTTCTCATCTTCAATGTCTTGGCAGGAATTTTCAAACATATAGTTAGCATCTTTGATCAGTACTTCCACCACCTGAGAATTATGGTCAATACATGTTCGAATCGTTGCTAAGTGGTCTTTAAAATACGGTATCATGTTTCTATGCCGTTCTGGAATTTCATCAAAATATCGCTCTGCGCGCTTGACCCTTTGTAAAGCACTGTTTCTGTAGCACTTAAAACCATTCAAAACTTTCATGAAATGGCGTCTTTCTTCTTCATCTGCCTTTTGCTTGTCAATTTCGTTTGAATTCTTGTTCTCCATCTCCATTTGGGATGATTTATCCTCTTTTCAATGAAAATAACTCTGATCTTTAAAGTTTCAACACCTTGCCGGAAGTTTACAAATGTTCAGCGTAAAAAAGTATAATGTCGTGATTGACCTAGTTTACTTTTAAGACTTCGTTTTCCAGACATTTTCTACAGTTATTTTGTATGCCGTCTGGTTGATCAAGACATAAATCAAAGGCATTTTACGACATTAGATTTATTGACGGTAAAATTTCGGCTGATTGTAGACTTTGTCGTCTAGTCTTATTCACTGAGGAGTATTCTATAATGTCTGGATGATCGAGTCTAACACATGGCCGGGTTTGTTTCATAATTTTTGTTATTTGACATTGAAGTCTTTCTATTTATAAAATAATCAACAGAGTCTTCAGATAGAAGGCAACCATGTTGATTTTCAGGCAGAGCAAGAAGTTGATTGACTTCACGCTAAGGCGCAAACTGATCAAGGTAAGTTTTAATTCATTTATCTGAGATTTTATTCTTAATTCAGTCATTCACTCTAATGGTCAAGACCTATGACTATGGCGGCTATGCCAGTGGTAAAATGTAATCAGTAATAATGAGTAATGGGGGTCGGATTGATCTTTCAGCTTCAATGAACTTAAAAGAATCAAATTCTTAGAATCAACCATTTTGTTTGTATTGAGTCATAATTAATTTTTAGAGTACACCAGCCTACTATTCTGTGCTATGATGGGGGTCTGGATACACCAGTTCCGCATGTCCTTTGGTGCCATCAGTTGCACATTGTTTAAAGCGCTGCCTCCTGTCATCACCGAACGATGGACAAAATTACACTTTATACAGTGTTCTGTCAAATTGGTGAATGACTAATGCTAATGATAACCAATACTGGCACTACTTAATCGGTATTATGTTTGTATTTACTCTTATATATGGTTATTTCCAATCATCTACTCATCAAAACAGTGATCATTTATAGTAAGTAACTGGTCTTGCTCTCACTTAAATGATTTTGTGTTTAGACCAAAGCAAGCTTAGTATTTTTTTTTTTTATTACTAGTTATTTTTTCTCTTTTAGATATATCCAGTTCAGATAACATCCTATTCTAATCGGAAATTAGGGGTAGGTTGTCTGAAACTTCATATCAGTTCGACGGTGACTGGTCGCCTTATCTTTCTTCTAGAAGGTTTTACATTCTTTCGATCTAATTATTAAGTTCAATCAAATGATATATAATGTTCTTTTATAAACCAGAGTCCACAAATTTTACAATTTTTTAAACCTGAAGTAGTTGTTATTTAGAGGTTTACACTGTGCGATCTTCAGCTTACTGATCATTATTCTATGTCCCTTTTTAAGTTTGACAATTTTTTCTGAGTAACAACAAACTTATTGTTGTACAATCTATTCTAAAATAACATATTTCAATTACAGGAGGTAGTAGCTGATGTAGAAAATCTAAGAAATATCGGAATCTCGGCTCACATTGATTCAGGAAAAACAACACTGACTGAACGTTTATTATTTTATACTGGTAGACTTCAGGAGATGCATGAGGTAAAAAAGGGGAACTATGAAATATGATTAGTATTCTTGCTATTTGTTCAAATTTTATCAGGGTTGAAATTAAATATATATTCTACTTTGTATTTTTGAGGAATTTCTAAAGTAAGTTGAAGTTTAATGTGTATATCTATAAGATTTTTTTTATCTACTTATCTTTAACTAAATATGTGCTTGATTGCAAACATTTGTTTGCTCTTAGTTTACTGTTTGTTGCTAGTTTGCTTTTAAATCTTATTTTGTTTATTAGATAGGCAAAGTATATAATATTAGAATTTAGAATAAAGCAAAGTTTTCATAGGATAAGACTTTGTTATTCATAAACTTGTATCAATGTCTATTGGATGGTATTTTAGGTGCGAGGCAGAGATCAAGTTGGAGCTAAGATGGATTTTATGGAACTAGAACGACAGCGTGGAATAACTATACAATCAGCAGCCACTTATATAAGCTGGAAAGATATTAACATTAATATCATTGATACACCAGGTAAGACTTGAAAAAAGTATTTGGGCATGTAATCTTCAATATTCCCCTTGGTTTTGAGTTAAAGGGGCAGAAAGTGAATTGTTAGCATTATAACTGTGCCCTCACACTTATTTGTAGCTCTGTTTAGACATTATATTGTCTTATGTCTACATTCGTTCTGCAGAGAAACAAATAAAACCAGACCCTTTGAACCATTTAATAAAATTTGTCTTATGGTAGCTTTTATCATTATTATTTTTCAAATTTTTAAATCAAATTAAAGTAAATGGCATTTGATCTTTTCCATTGCAGGTCATGTAGATTTTACAGTGGAAGTTGAAAGAGCGTTAAGGGTGTTAGATGGTGCTGTGTTGGTGTTATGTGCTGTAGGTGGTGTTCAGAGTCAAACACTGACAGTCAACAGACAGATGAAACGATATGATGTACCCTGTATAGCTTTTATTAATAAACTAGATAGAATGGGATCTAATCCTAAAAGAGTGCTGGATCAAATAAAGTAAGTGTTAAACCACTAGAATATGTTTTAGTGTGACAGTTTAGATTGAACAAAATTTAAAACATATTTTTTGGACGAAGTGCTATGATTTGCTTTGAGAATCTTCTTTGAATGATTGAGTATCTTTGATGGCTTTCATCACTTTTCAACACATGATTTTGTTCTTTCACAGGGACAACTTTGTGCAGGTGGCCTCACTAGACTCTTCAAAAAGAAATATTGTTTGTATAGATCTCAGACACTTGTTTTGATTTCCAAATTTTATACGTATGGTAGAGAATGCTGTAGTATTTAGTTGAACTAGTGATATATACATGAATATAACAAAGTGAAATGTCTCCCATTTTTCAGAACTAAGTTAAAACATAATGCAGCGTTTCTACAACTACCTATTGGTTTAGAAGGACAACATGAAGGTGTTGTAGATTTAGTCAGTCAGAAAGCTGTATATTTTAAAGAACCTTTAGGGTGAGTATTTTATGGCCAAATAAGAACTGAATTTAATTGTAAAGTGTGAATTTTGAGTTTATTATTACTATAGAGAGAAACACTAAAGTAATATCGGTCCCTGTTCCATGTAGTATTGTTTCCAAACTTGTGGTATCATAGCAAGAGAGAAAATGCGTTTTTATACTTCTGTTTGTAGATTTACAATTGTTTTTTGTGTATTTCTGGTATTAGATTTACAGTAAGAAATGTTGATTGGGAGGTTTTAGGTTACTATATCTAAATTTACTTTAGGTGAAGATGTTTACTTATTTCATTCTTTTTCTATTTTTCTAGATTTACAATAGTTGAAGATGAAATACCACAGAATATGAGACAAGAAGCTGCTGAAAAAAGACAAGAAATGATTGGTAAGTCAATGACTATCCGTGGAAGATAAACTTGATTTCCGACAGACGCTTGTGACTCTCAGACATTTAAGTGGCCGTCTTAAACATGGCTGGCAAACAGAACCAAATCAATGGCCTCATACAGGTTGGATATCTGTAGAGGACATGATATTGATAGATTTTTTTTATATACACCTTTAATTAGTGAGAACTGTCTACAATTAAATTATGACTTAAGTATTTTATCAGCAGTTTATATAAATGTTTTTAACATATCACGGATATTTTCCCATTTATCTTTATTATATTTTATATAGAATGTGTATCCAATGTTGATGAGCAATTAGGTGAACTGTTTTTAGATGAAAAAGTTCCCACGGAGGCAGAACTGAAGGTATTATTACTAATACATGTTATACTTAATAAGTGTTAACTGCTCTCTAGTTATGTGAGCTCACTTTAACTTATATTATATTATCAATCAAAGAGATATTACCTCACAAACTCTTATATCCTGATGATTTATTTTATATTAGAAACATATGTCAATTACAATAAGATGAGCTTTTTGATAAGAATAGTATTTAAAGCAATAAGTCCTCTAATAATACTGTAAAATGGTCTGTAGATCCTAAACTAATGATGCAATTGACTCCCATTCAATTTATTATGAATTATCTAGGCTGCCATCAGAAGATCTTGTATTACCAGAAGTTTTACACCAGTCATGTTAGGGACAGCTTTGAAAAATAAAGGAGTACAAACCCTACTAGATGGGGTAGTGGATTATTTACCAAATCCATCTGAAGTTAAAAATATATGTCTGGATAACAGAGAGGGGTAAGTCATGTGAAACAATGTCCAGTCTAAATAAGTAAGGCATACCAAAATACCTCGATAGTGACAATTAAGATTTGGATCTAATTTAGAGTTTTGAGATATGTTGTCTTTCATGCCAAAGAAAGAGGCCCACAATTTCTACTAATTAAAACTTTTTTTTACAATCAGTTGTTTAAGATAAAGATAAAGCCCTATAATTCTTTCATTTGAATATTATTTATAAATTCTCCGATTTATTTCCAGTGTAAGCAATACAAAAAAATTTGAATTGAGCCCAGTAAGAGACTTCTCCAATCCTTTTGTTGGACTGGCTTTTAAGTTAGAGGTAACTTTTTATTTTATTTTTTGACATTACTGTCAGAATGTTTGCTGACTGCAGTGCAAGGCTGGATATTTTTATTGAACTCTTTTATAAATGCATACTTACAATACGACCAATATGAGATTATATTATGATGATGAATTTATTAGCTAAGAATCATTATTAGTTATAACAAAAGACCCAAAATATTGGGGAACTATGAAAATTAAAACAATATGAACCTAGGGATGTATCCACTTGATTTTCTACCTACAAAAATAAATAATGAATTTGACCTTGCAGGCAGGAAAATTTGGACAGTTAACATATTTACGAGTCTATCAAGGTGGTTTAAAGAAAACTGATCTGATATATAATACACGAACTGGTGCTAAAACAAAAGTATCAAGATTGGTTCGAATGAACGCTGATGAAATGGAGGATGTTGGAGAAGTATTTGCAGGAGATATTGCTGCCTTATTTGGAATAGATTGTGCTAGTGGAGATACTTTCTCAACTAAAGATAATCTTCATCTTTCTCTGGTAAGATCAAGTCTGATTTGTTTTGATAATGATAATACAATAAAATATTGTCACTGTTAAAATAATGCTCAATATAATTGTAGAGCGATATAGAAATAATGATATATTAAAAAGTAAGCTATGACTGCCCCGACTCTTTCATTACATTCTACATTCTTCAGTAGTGAAGAAGGGCATCAAAGAATAATTCCTCTCAGCAATTATCTTTAATAATTTCAGGAATCTATGTTTATTCCGGAGCCTGTGATAGCTATGTCTATTAGACCTGAGAAACAGTCTGATGTAGAACAGTTCTCTAAAGGTATCAGTAGGTTTACTAAAGAAGATCCCACATATAAAGTACATTATGACAGTGATAATAAGGAGACCATTTGTTCTGGAATGGGTGAACTACATTTAGATATCTATGCTCAGGTTAGTATCTAATTGTTTCAATAGTTACTGACTAATTGTTGATAGATGTCAGTTAGCTAGAGACTATTTACTCTGTTACCGGTACTTTAAGGCCTTTCTTTACATATGATTTCAGAGGTTGGAACGTGAGTTTGGCACAAAATGTATTCTGGGTAAACCAAAAGTATCATTTCGAGAAAGTTTAACACGTGTGGTAGAGTAAGTACTGATAAGTTTTTTTCTGTATTGCACTCCAAAACTGTAAAACATAGAACTCATACAGTTAACAAAAAAATTACAACAGTTTCAGTTAATATAACAAACCTCATTCCCAAATGGAAAAATCAAAAAATGATTTTAGATTACTAACTGAAATTCAAAAACAAGAAGAAAGGAAAACGGAATTTTATTGTAATTTTTTTTATTGTTTAGCAGGCACATACCTTACAACAAAATAAAGCAAAAAGAAGGGGGAAAAACCTTTGAACTACTCTTCCAATAAAGATATTCTGAAATATTTTCATTATTAATTTCAGGTTTGAACATATACACAAGAAGCAAACAGGAGGTCAAGGTCAATATGGAAAGATTATAGGATATATTGAGGTATTATTATAGTTTATATTCATCATTGTCATAGATTAGATTCTGAACTCTCTATATCGTATATTTAATGATGACTTTTAAACAGTGTCATTTTGAATTAATATTTAATGTTTTATTTTTGGCTGACGTGAAAGAGCATCTGATTGTTCAGATGGAACAATAAATCAAGCCCTGTTTGATAACTGTCCTGGAAACATTTCCTTCAATGCACAAAGAATGGCATTTTCTGGGTTTTTTTTTGGCTCAATCAGGTTCAGGTTATAGAAATTTCATCCAGTTGTTTCTTAATAGTCATCCCACTAGAAAGGCGTTTTGACTGCGCTGCTAACAGAACGCAAAAATTGGCTCAGACTCTCAGAGTTTGTTAAAGGTCGCTTGACTATCTTCAAACTCTTAATAGTATAATACTCATAAAGGTTTTAACTTTTTTAGCCTTTAGATGCAGAAGAAAACACAAAACTGATCTTTCAAGATAACACAGTAGGAAATAATATACCTAAAACATATATACCAGCTATAGAAAAGGTACATTTGTTCTTGTTATTTTCTGATATTAGAATGCCCTTTTGTCATAAATATTCATCTTAATTCAGAATAGGATGAAGTCAAACGTCAGAAACTTCATATGTCTTTGTTTGAGACCAATTGGAACATGCCTTAATGGAACTATTAAGAAAGATGGAGCTATGCTTAGCAGTTCTCATTATGATGCAAATATTCACATTAGAATCTGTATTGTTATTTTCCCAGGGTTTCCGCAAGGCATGTGAGAAAGGTGGTTTAACTGGACAGAAAGTAGCTGGTATTAGAATAGTACTGACTGATGGAGCTCATCATCCGGTAGATTCTAGTGATTTAGCTTTCACTAATTGTGGTGAATACTGTATGAGAGACTGTAAGTATCAGTATTTATTAAATGCTTTTAGTTCAAACATCCATAGATTTTACAGTTTTGAAGTTTTCTTTATAATAAGAACACTTTCAGTTCCAATTAGATGTCATTGGCCCATACACCTCAGGAACCACTCTCTAACTCTAACTAGTTTCCACTCATAAATAAATGGATTCTGTCCAGTCTGCACCTTTGTGTGTTAACAAGCATCAAGACAAATATAAACAATTAGTTGACAAGAGCTCACCTTATACTGCAAAGGCTTTCATATCGTGGGTGACCGCTTGAAACCTCGTATAACGATATATGAATTACTTTTCGAGAAAAACGCAAAAAACTGTTTGTACACGTATTTTGTTAAAATATTTTTTATTATTTTTTTTACCGCTATACGTGGTTTTCATTCTATGAAAATATAAACCTCGTATAACAACTTGAAATCTCCGGCCTATTGAACCAAAAACTCGTATATTAATACAGTATACGAGGTTTTTCATTTTCATCCACAGAAAAGGAACATTGAACCTTGTATAATAATATATTTTACGAGGTTTTAAATCTGACTGTTTATATACATGTTATTTAATTAGTGCTTTTTGAGTTATTTACAATCAAGCTAAGAATACGAGGTATTAATCACAAGATCCGCGCTTTAACGAGCTTTCGAACGGTACAAAAAAGTCAAAATGACCAAATATGGCATATACGAGGTTTCAAGAGGTCACCCACGATATATAAATTCGGGATAGTGGTGATAGAAATTGTGATTATGCTTTTGTGGATGCTTATGTATTTAAATTGCAGGTTTTCTAGATGATGGTTGGATTGTGTTAGAACCTATAATGGCTGTAGAGGTGACGGCCCCAGCAGAGTTCCAGGGTACTGTATTAAACAGTTTGAATAAGAGACATTCAGTAGTAACGGGTACTGAGATTGTAGATGAATATTTCTCTATATTCTGTGAGGTCAGTTGTGGATTTTTTCAATATGAAATCTCAAAGAAATCATAGGATTCAAATTATTATCACAGAGTAAGTGGTCAAATCAGATTCAAGATAGTGGCTTTATTGTCAAGAATTAAACCAGCAACCTACTTTATAAAAACATTAGAATTTGTATTTGGCTTTGGATCTATTCTGAAAGAAAGGTTGAAATTCATATTTAGATAATTTTCTGACCTGCAAAACTTTTCATCAATTTAATTTTAATTATTCTAGGTGCCTTTGAATGAGATGTTCGGTTATTCTACAGAAATTCGATCCTTAACGCAAGGTAAAGGAGAATTTACCATGGAATATAGTCGTTATTGTCCAGCCCTTCCAGAAACACAAAATGTTCTCATCCAGGCTTATAATGAGGAAATTTCAGAAAAACATTCAAAGAAGAAGAAGAAAAAAAATTAATGATGATGAAGTTTAGTTTTAATTTTGTTATGGACAATGCATGGAAACAGGTGATACATGGAAAATATAGAGGTGAATTTATGTTATTCATGGAATTCAAATAAATGTAATAGTTTTACAAATCAGGAAACAGGTGCTACATAAAAGTTACATCCTAGTTTCCTAAAAATTTTGAATAAGTTTATAATAAGATTATGCAATTGTGGATTTAAGGGATATACTATTTATCCCAAGGTCAAATTATCTGAAGCTATGATTACAGTGTAAATAATTATAATCAGAAAGTGTCGATCAGTTAAGTTCTATGCAGCTGACTCTTTCAGTTCTTCATTTACCATTATCATTAAATTATGTTATTTCTTTGTCATTGTGATATTTATTGTTTTATAGAACAATGAATTGTTATTTATTGTAAATATATGTCTAACAATCCAATAGAGCGTTTTTTAAATATTCTTTTATGGAAATATCCCTATTTCTACCTAGAATAGAGGAGTGTTAGGAAGGTTGGTACATGAGCAAAAACAACTAAGTTTAATCTTCTCTGGTTATTCATTAAAACTGAGGCTGGGTTTAGAATAATACATGATAGTCAGATAAATTATGTTTATTATATACAAAATATACATTATAATTAATATATTAGCTCTTTATATATTAGATATATTAATAAACAGCCAAACAAATATAGTTTTACACATTTAAAACATTAACCACCAGTTTATTTTATTTTTAGGTATAGCACAAATGAGGAATAACAAGAACAGTCTGTTTTTTACTAGTAGAAGAAATAATAATAGTAACTAGTTTAAATGATTCCAGTACCTTAAAACAAAATAGTTTTTGTAAAAAGTTTGTGTTAATTACCAGGTATTACTACCAGTACAAAGAATCACTAGTAAATGAATACTAATAATTCCAGGTGCAAATTATTGATATGGTAGAAAATAGAGGTAGTGAATGAATACAGTACTGGTCCAAACATGACTTTCTATATACAGTCATGTACTACTGTATAGTAATACAGACACTGTACTTAACATACATTCACTCTCTTACAGAAATGTTCCTCACTAAATATTTGCTTTGTAAGAATAAACGAATTTTAATTCACCTATTAAGCAAAAGATTAATTTTCTTTAATTAAATTTTCTTAGGTTATCAAGCTTGCTTAAAGTTATAGCACTGAAGTAAAAATGTTAACTATATTAAAGTATATTTGTTTGGCTGATTGGATAACATGGAATGTTAACATAATAACAGAATAACAATAACAAATTGGGTGACATTTAAATATAACAAAATAATAACATGAACCACCCCATCCAAGAACACAAAATGCCCTCTGTTTACAGAAATGGTTAAAATAAATGGATTTTTTCTTCACAAAATGATAAATACACAGCTCTACATATTTTATTTGTCTATTGCCTCATGATCAAGATATCATGACATAACTTTATTGTTAGAGCTATATTACAATTCATGTTGTCAAGTATTGCACTTAAAAACACTTGAAAATACAATTTCATGGAAATGCAGGTCAAATAATTTGTTTTATACTAATTGGAAAGAATTCTGCAAGAATCATTATTGCAAAAATCATTACTTCAACTGCATCCTGACAAACTTGATATAATGAACCTTGTCATAGCTAGAATGAAGGAAGTAATAAATATGTCTAAATTTTCTATGAATTATGCCTTACAATTACAGACTTACTAAATACTAAGATAATAGTCAATACCACACTAGTCCCGTTGAAGCCCCTTATCCAGAATAATGACAATTACAATCACAGAGATTTTAAAACTACAAAACAAACATAACATCAATAAATTAGTTTTGTATTCCTTAAAACTTCTAATAATAGTCTATAGATGTATAATCATGTTTTATCACCAAGTCAAAAGCTCAAATTTCAGCTCCCTGTACACTTTTTAAAATAAAAATCTGACCTCAAGTTCACCTCAAGTTCATTTGCAGATACTTTAAGAAATAAACATAAGGGTGTTTTAAACCTAGAAATAAATTATGGACTTTTAAGCTGCTATCATTTTTATAGGACGACAGATTTTTATTCTAAAAATTGTCACAGTAGGCTGAAATAAAGTTCTTTCTATCAACAATTAATTTCATGACTGGATCTATATCCAATTACCATACTTCAAAACATATTTTCTTTTCTCATGTTTCTATAGAACTATGAAATTCTTCACTCTCTAAATCTTTAGTTCGTGTCACAATTGGATTGATCATATTAGCACTGGGGATACTGGATTCAGAGTCTTTTCTCTCTGTGATTGTTACTCCACCGTTTTGTAACATGGAGGAGTTAGAGTCAGTGGAATTATGGGAGGTATTATCACAGTTGCTAAGGGAATTTGTAGAATTCTGGGAATGTAATGCAACACCATTGGAATTCCGATCGGTTTGTAATTGATAGTTTGCTTTAATATTAATAGCATCTATAACATCATCACACTGAGCTATTTTACTATCTGTTGATAAATTCGACATTTTGGGTAATTTGAAAAAACTGTCTTCTGTTTTTGCGAAGAGTTCTTCCTCTTCATCAAATTTTTCTGGTTTTTGGAGAGTTAAAGAAACATCAGAACGAAAATCTGTTTCACCAACAGTGTGAAGATTATTAATCTCTGTATCTAAAGACTGGAGCAAGGCAGTGTCTTGCCGAGCCAAGCTACTGGTCGTACTTGAATTTGTTGTGCTCTTCGCTCCTTCTTTTGCAACTGAATTATTAGAACTACCACCACCCCCTATAGTTGATGGAGCTGTTAAAGATCTAGGTATGGAATATTCTCTGAAATACATAAAAAAATCAACTTTGTACAATACACTGTGTAACAAGGTTAATTCATACAATAATTCTCATTGAGGGGCACTTGATTTTTACAATAATCATAGATTAATACTCATACAAGGATATGATTGATTGATCCTATGACAGGAAAATCATATGAGATCAAGTTTCAGAGTAACACACCTATATATTTTTAACTCTTACAAATTGATTATAACAATAGGTTGAAATGTACTTACCCTTTGACCCCTAGCCGTAACTCTAGCAGTGTTTTTATATTGGGTAATGTCAGTCTTAAATTACTGGTACCTAATCCACAGTAAAATCTCAACTACAAAAGAAATGCAAAAAGTTGGTTAATATAGCATAATGAAGTAATGCGTCAAAATCATCATTCAAAGAGTTGCCAGGTTTGAAGTTGCAGCAAGTCTCAAATACATTAAAAGAAAATATTGCTTATCCTTTCAGGGTTCAACTATCTTGTTATGAAAAGTAGTATATAGTAATATTCTGTACTGTTACCTGACTAATATTTTTATTCAGTAAAAATACACCATAATTAAACTGGAATTTTTCTTTTCCTTTACTAAATAGTGGAAAACTGGAAAATAACATGATATTTATGTTTAATATTTGAGATCTTTCTAAACACATACAGGATTAAAATGTAGGAGAAGTCAACATGCTTTCACTTTAGCAATTTCAATTTGTCAAGGGATGACACAGGTAAGGCTTTATTGTGAGAACAGAATAGTCAACTGCAGATTCATGCCCCTTCACAAGACAGAAGATAATATAAACATAACTTACTCTCTATCTTTCTCTGTCAGTCTGATATGTATATGATCACGAATTTGTGACCTTGACCCTCGGAATTCCATCATATAACGTAGAGGTAAGTTTAATATTTGAGCTATCATAATGGTGAGATGACATGTATAACCTAATGATACAGCTACCATTGTTTCATCATGACCTAAACAGATACAAAATATCATCAATATAATTATAAATAAATTTTACCTCTTTCCTGTTTCTCAAAAAAAATTATTCATTTCAAAAATTTCGTTTGTGAATATTGTACAAAAGGGTTTCAATTGACGTTGGTTTTATTATATGAACAGGGAGTTGAATATTAAATCGATACAGTATGGCCATACCTTGATAATTTTCAGAATGAGGTAATCTGACACCACATATAGAGTAATCTCCTTTCTCATTCTGAAACAATATAAACACAACATTAATGGTGGAAGATATTTTCCCAGAGCATTTAAATACCTACCATTTAAAATTTTAAGCTTGATAAAGTTGCTTACTTTAGTATATCATGTCTTTTTGTGGGATCCAAAAATATTTTAAACCACGCACTTCTTAATTGACTGCACATCATATGCAGTCTTTTCATGTAAAAGAAATACTGATTCCATCAAAATGGGAAACATATCCAGAAGAAAAACCATAGACAGCTAACCTCTGTAACAGGAAATACTGATGTAGATAATTCACCAATCAGCTGTTTACGTCTTATTAACAACTGAGCTGATTCTTTAATCCACTTCTCTCTCTGTTGATTATAAACTTGTCGAGTTTCTTCTTGTTTTACACGACTTTCTTTTAAACTTAGCTTATTCTCTTTTAGTCTCTCATCTATTCATAAAAATAATTAAACTCTATAAAACCTACTTCAGTTTAAACCGTGAGCTTAACATTGACTGTGGATTTTACTGATATCAAATTAAATATACCAGAGAATTCTTAGATTTGTAAACAATCCATGAGGCATGCCTTTTGAACAAATAAAATCTTATGACTTAAGATATAGAATCAAAAAGGTTAAATAATGACTTTAGGTACAATCATATCCAACAGCATCAGCCTAACACTGTGACATAAACATTCCAAAATTACATTATTAGCTATGTTTTTAAAGACAAAACTTACATCTAGCTCTGATAGAATCTCTCCTGACATCAAACTGATCTTTAGTTAACTGTAGTCTATTAGTCTGCCATCGTAATTCACTTTTTAACTGGTTTATTTTTAATAATAACTCTTCTCTTTCCATTAACTACAACAATATAATACCATTAAATAACGTATATATATACCATCATAATGGCTTTAAGAAAAGAAACAAAAGGCCACCTCCACATTTTACAAGGATTACAACTTACATTTCCTTGAGTCCTGTCTGTCAACTGGTCCTTTCTTGGAAATAGTTTTTCCCGAATTATCTGTACCCATTTGGGCGACTGGAATAGTGAGAAAATATGACTTTTTGAAAGTCAGAATTGAACCCACCACCGCCATAATCCTGATAACAAAGACATTGGCCACATCAGCATCTCCATCCAAAAATCCAATCAAAGTTTCTTTCAGCAAACAATCATGAAATTCCCAACTAGTGAGCAGGGTTACCCTTCACCATGAAGACCAATATTCCTGTTAATGAGGATTAATCCTGTCCTGGATTTTATTTTCACCATTATTTCAGGTTAAGGATAGTTTGACACCTCTAATGATAAGAATGACTGTACCTTATTATGAGAATGTTGGGAAGAGATAAGTCTATCTTGGATAACTTGATGCAGTTTATTAACACTGGACTGAGTTTGTTTGACAGCTCGTAATACAGTCTGTACTCTATAATATCATAATAAAAAAATCACAAACTGTTGTTAATAAGCTTGTGTACTAAGATCAGTTTTCTCAAATTAACTAAATATATGACTCAAATTTACATGATAGGCTAAATTCACCATATCTTTTACCTTGTGAGTGAGATGCTTTTTAAGTTTTTAAAACGATGACATACATGGTTTCAATTATTGCTATTATACATAAGTATAAAAAAATACAAAAAAAAGGCTTATTTGTATAAAATATTAAATCTCCAGGAGATTAAAACCAAGAATGCCTAGTCAGACAATTATTTTAAATACAATCCAGTCAATAGCCAAGAGGTCAGTAAAGACAGTCCTGTATCAGTATAATAATTACCTGGATAATGAACTAGTATTATACGACGATCTAGTATTGACCTGATATACATGTAACATCTTCATACTATTTATATTTTCTTCTACCTTCCCCTGAAAAATATCCAAAATTATAGCTAGAAAAAGATATGATATGGTTTTGAGCAACAAATATATCATCAATCCATCATGATTGTCAAGATTAAATGTTTTCAGCAAAGCGATGAAGTAGTGATAATAAAATGCAGACTTAAAACTCTGATTACATAACCACGGTAGACCAAACAGCCCACTATAAAAACTTCTTATTTGCGACTAAATGAAATAAGAACAATAATTTTAAGTGGATTGTTTTTAGTAGGTTTCTATAAACTGAATTCTTAAGCTATTATAAATATAAAGATATTGATTAAGAAACAAAAATTACCTTCTGTCGTTGTTGTTCTGGAGGTTGTATAAAATATTTATCAAATAAACCAAATATCAGTGTATTAGGAAGATACTTCATACCTTCTACTTGTAACTGAAATAAATTGACAAATATATATACAAAAGTATTCCGAGTCTAAAAAACTTTAATATTATGACACAATATGATGCTGTAATTGTGAAAGCATTATTCAGTCAGAAATCCAATCTAGGTGTGTCACTTAAAGTAGAATGCATTGATAATGATAGTACAAACTGGCGAAGAATGAACTATTCGTGAGAAAAAAAATTCTCTTACTCACCCTATCAGCCAAGAAAACCAAACTTTTTAAACCAACTTCTAAATCAACTAATAATCTTATCTTAGATTTTAACTGAATCCAGATTTTTATCACTACCACTGAAAACAAGATTTTCCTAGATTAGACTAAAACTAAGAAATAAATTTTCATATTGAATTTCAATAATTTTCAATCAATTCAAGAGTTGTTTTAAAGTAATTATTGCTGATTTTCCTCTAGAAGAAGTAAGATCTACATAATTTGGCACATGATTTATCTGCTAAATTAAAAATAATATAAAGTCTTGTCGCTTACCTCTTGATATTGTGTCTATTTTATCTTCAAAACTACTGGCATCAAACCCTCTCCATGTTGGATTCTAGAAAAAATAAAATATAAAATATGATTAATAGTTGAATCACCATGGGTCGATACATTACCCAGCTGAAAGCAGATTCCATTTAGTGGTATCATACTGTATATATCATTGAAGACTTTTTTTTAAAACAACTTACCATTGATCCAGTTATCTTTTCACTCCAATAAACAGCTGAAATACAAAATGCATTAAATCTTTAACATAGATAACAAATTCTCTTATGACAGTCCTGTCTGCCACTTGGTAAGTAGCTAAACCTCTTTTTATTTTACAGCTGGATGATGCAGAATCCTTAAAAGATTTTTCAAGATCATTTGCCATCAGCTCAAAATAGCAATGTATGACTACCATTTCCTTATTTCCTTGATGTACACCACACAACTGAGTCAACATACTCTAGCTAGCTAACTACTTCCCTAAATGTGTTACCTACCAGGAGATTTGCTATCTTTATGAATAGTAAAATAAACATCTAAATGTTTCATATCATCTCCATTGAAACTTCTACATTGTAAATTTCTCATTGATACAGACTTCAGATGACGTAGTCTTTTCTGAAATTAATAGATTGTTATAATGAAAAAGCAATATAACATACATACCTAACATTTAAGTCTTTCGGTGTGATAGTTTGTAACCTTCTGTGACAGCCAATGACCCTTCATTAAAATGGCGTTCATGCAATATTTCATATTTTCAAACTTTCAAACTTTGTGATACATAAACATAACTAGTTGTTGACATGAATGGATTTGATTTGTGGCTTTGTTGTTCTGAACATTGACATTGAAATTTGATAAATTTCGACACATGATAAGTTCACAATTTGATCACTAATCTTTCTACAAATTATAGATGAAATACAGACATTAAAAGGACACCCCACAACGTAGACGGTAGGTTTACTACTACTGTCTTCGTATTTGACTAACTTGACACTGTCTCGACAAACTTGTCAATGCATAACTCAAGGTATGACAAAAAGCTTTTCAGAAAGAGTTTTAAAAGGCTGAAATTTGAGCAAAGAACAAGTGTCATGCAAAAGTTCCATATTTATTCATCTTTCCTGTTGACAGTTAAACATAATCTAGTGGACCTGCACATAAGCATGGACATTGTGAATAAGGTCTTATTAAAAAAAATTGTCTGAACCTAGTGCATGTAGCAAGTCTATTTAGTTATAGAACAGTATCAATAAACTATGGATAATGCAATAGGATGTGTGCGTTGAAGGCTAGGCTACCATCAGTAGGCCTATCACCACTGTCTGAGGAATGTTGTTATGTTGTAGAACCTATTAAATCTGCAGATTTGAAAGCAATTGACTACCATTCACTGATTGTTGATGCAAGTTTATAAAGCAAATTCTTCAATATGTATGATTAACCTTGTCAAATCACCAAAATCCCCCCCCCCCCCCCCCCCCCCCTCAACTCATAAATGCTGAAATGGATAATCACAGATGTCACCTTCGTTAGAATATGATTTACCTGATAAGTGGGCAAGTCGTACGGACTTCTGACCCGTTCAAAGGCCCCAGCATTTTCCATAATTGTTCACTTTGTCATTTAGGGGAGTGATCTAATTTCACAGCTAAAAAAAGATAACAAATCAATTTCCGATTCAACCGGAAGTAATAAACAACCTCCATCTTGAATCTCGTATAATGTCACGTGCCACAATTGTTTAAACCTCTCTTAAGACTCTTTGGAGGGATAAATATCATAAAAAAAATAACGTTGAAAGCAACTCTTTTCAAATGTTTTAATTTACTTGTTAAGTCTGACTAACATTGAATAGGTAATAGGGGTGCAGGACTTCCGAAGGTTATTCGACTTCTCACGAGACTTCCAATATTACATGTCATGTGACTTGATCAGGTAAGTGAGTTGCAGACAGCTTTTCAGTCTATTTTCACCATACAATTCCATTGAAACTTTTACGCATAAATCCTTAAAAACGTGGTTGTGAGTACATTAATGAATTTTCTCTGCCCAATACAACCAAGCTATCTTGTGGGTTTGAGTGGCTTTGCCTTGTTAAATCCATTGGATAGGTATAAATTTGACACCCCCCATCACCACGGTTTACAATGGTTTCTCCCCTTTATAAATATAAGTTCCTCCCCTATTAGGCCGGGGCTATATATTTGTAAGCTTAGAGTATGCAATGAAAATAGTTTGATTTTATGACATTATTTTTTATTTCAAACAAATCATGTCGTTTAGGCTTACACTAGTTCAATCAATTTAATTCTTATTTATTTTCTGGAAGAGATGATGCTAGCTCCTTTCATCAATTGCATAAATAAATATTTCCTTTTCTTGATAATTAGATCATAACTTTATAATTTTCTGTTTTCTTATGTATTATTTATTAACCCATTCTCCTTCTGTTCTCAGTACTTAAAATTAAGGCTTAAACTTCTATGAGCAGTTTTCTTGTTTCAAACATCAAAATAAATTAGTAAATGTACATCAAAAAAACAAAACAATACAGGTTTTGATTTATGACAATTGCCCAATTAAGGTTTATGAATAAATAACCCTCCATATTGTCTTATTCTTTCCCCCTTGACATGAGAACAATACACCAGTTAAGAGTACTTTTATCATTTACTTCACCTCTATGATGTCGTAGTTTCAGACTTGTTTCTGCTTATAAACACATGCATATCTGCATTACATTTTCTATGACACCATTTTTCACATCCATCACAAGTATTTGTATGCTGCTTTGGTCTAAGAAAATAATTGCAATTTGAACACAAATCAGTCATACTGAATAAGTTGAATTTGAATTGAGCAAGAATAATATTATTAGATCACATGCTTACTAATAGATAACTTAATCTGTGATAATATCAAAGCGATTTACTCCAATGGCTTCCTTATTCATTACTTATGTTCATCCATCACATTACTACACTAGTAATTAGCCTGAACTAGGCCTAGTCGTATGCACTTTCCTTGTAAGAAAGTCCTACCTTTTGTGAAATTGTTTTAACAATCGGTATAATAAGTTAAATTCAAACCAAATTATTGCTATAAGTATAACTAATAACGGTAAAATACTAAACACAGCATTAGTATTTTTCATAGTTTAGATAGGCAGTGCAAGAAGGTTATGCCTAGTCTATAAATGCCGTTACAGCTACAGCAAGGGAGATTCACAAAGAAGCATCTGGTGTTCTGGGAGAGAGGTACTCAAATTCAATAAAATCTTTGCTAAATAAGACATTGATAGATGTGCATGTTATGGTGTTAATTGAATTAGAATGACAATGACAATCTTCTCTTCTTTACCCTTTCAGGTAATCTAGATTAACAAGACAATTCAGTACAAGTACCAGTAAAGCCTTAGATAGTTTTTGTGTGAAGATTTGAAATGGCAACCCAGGGTATAGAGAGAATACCTGATTCACTGGGCTATTTGGTTTTAACAGATGATGGTGCTGTAGTCAGTGTAAGTAATATTTTAGTAGAAGGTGTGTTTAATAGACAGTAGTCTAGTACTCTTAAATTGTATGGAAAGGACTATTGGTATTGTACCTACAACGTAAGTTATTCAACAGAATACTTAGAAGACTGATATGATAATATATATCAGTCAATGTAAATAATATCACACTCTGTATTAAGAAGATAAACAATCATTTTCTTGTTTCAATTGAAATTTCCATGTAAATTAGTTGTTGAAAAGGTTCTTTCTATTTCTTAAGATCAGGTGTCTATAAATCTAAATTATTCTCTTGACACTCTAACCCCATTGATGAAAGATTAGCCAACTAAAACAAACTACTGGTATTATTCTTTTAGGCTTCTCTTTCATAATTTGATGTTGTATTAATGTAATGATTTTTTTTTTGTAGTCAGGAGGGGATTTAGAGAATGATGAAAGTTTAGCCAATAAACTGTGTAAAATGGTACATACCGCTGTGGGTATACCTGTTACCAGTGATAGAAGAGACACTTTCAAACGATTATCAGGTGAAATTCTGATGTTTCAGATTGCTTTTAGTATCTAATTCAGTGTTTGCTAAAAATTACATTAAATTAGTAGCTTGTGAGAATATAATACAGAACTATGCACCCGACCTAGATATCAGAATCAAACTCAGTTGACTGCCATTTAAAAAGCGTGGTTCAAACCAAACTCCTTTTGTCTTGTGTAGTGATTTAAATGTCAACCAAGTTCACGTATTGACTGAAAGGAATTATTTATTGGAATATTTTTATTTTCAAAGGTTGAAATTTCGAGTAAATTGTCAGTTCTATTAGACATCTTATCAATAATTGTTTTGGTAAATATAACACAATGACTAAAAGTCTTGTTTATTTATTTCAGTAATATGGGATGATTTTATGTATATTGTAACTGTTTCGAACCAGAAGATCTATGTTTGTAAAAAGAAATATGTTCCACAAGACCCAGTTCTGACTTAATACTTATTATTTTTATTTTTGTTATATTGTTTTGTATATATTTCTTCTATATTTGTATATAAACTTATAGTATCTATTTGTATCTAAGCCTTTTCATATGGCTACATTAATGGTTTCACTCTAAATATGCAAGATTATTGTCGAAGTTGGATTTTTGATCAAAGCTTGTGGACTATAACATTTCATGGCATAGCCCTTGATATGGCAATGGCAAAAATGAAATGAATGGAGTTTTAAGTTTTACTTATTTGCTCCGAATTGGGCTAATGCTCAGTCTGTAGCACTCAAGGCCTCAGTTTATTGTCGAATAACCCGAACAACAAGACGCTATTTCCATGTCTGCCCTCTGACCTACATCACTGACTGAGGGAAGATGGGTTCAAAAACCCTCACAGAGCCACCGCGGCTCCCATTGCAATGACATTTTAAAAAATAGGCGTATATCTTTACAGGGGCTTGGGAATAAGGCAAGGTTGTTTTTTCTTTCTAGTCTATATCAGAAAACTGGGTTTGAAAAATTGAGAAATAGGATAGTTGCAACACATCTGACCAACCAAATATGCCAAGTATTTTTAGCCTACCCTAAAGAGAGAGTTACTAATAATCCATATACAGAGAGTGAACAAAATGTTACTGTTTAGACGTGTATAGGTAGATCATACCAGATTTTCCCAAATTCATTGATGTAATGTGTTGCCATTCATCTTTAATAATATGGGACATAAAATCCATTAGGCTAAGGGATAATAATCCATTATGAAATAACAAGTTGATCACGAATTTAAAACATTTTGGCGGGAAGTTGATGACGTAGTAACCAGCGGGGAAATCCTCTCTTTAATGACCTTCACCTTTTAGATAATTTATAGCCAAAACACGCACTGCATACCTACTTTATCAACAATAATGTTACCGTGTTTTCTTACTGCAAAATATACAGAGGTAGGTTTTCCATTTTTATTTTCCAGTAGGGAGAAGTTTTAGTACATTTATTGAGTTGATGGGGTCATTGATTAGCTGGAAACGTCCAGTTGATGAAAGGTGAAAAATTTATTTTCAAGATGGCGGTCTCACTTCCTGTCGATGTATTCAACAGGTTTTTTGTGTCTAAAATCGACGATCCCCCAAACCCCTCAAACCCCTCAACTATTTCGCACTATCTATTTTAATTAAAGAATATACAGTAATTATTAGAAATATATTTTCGATAGTTTGCCTGCAAAATCCATTAATTGGATATGTATGTGTCTCAAAGAAATTAAATCCCATCAATTGTAAAACAATAAGACAATCACAGAAGTGTCACAACTGGTTTATTTTCTTCAATATGAACAAATTGTTGCACATTGAACTACTTCAAACTATCAATATTGCTTTTTAAAGGATTAGCATAGACAACCGATTTTCAGATGCAGTGGTTTATAAAATGAAGTTAATTAGTCAGATATTTCATATCTCTAAACATGCATTTTTGAAATATATATAGATAATGAATAATAGTTATTGCAAAGGGCTTTTATTTTGATTAATGTATGGAACAACTTAACTTTTAAAATGATATCCACATTTGCAAAGTGCAATTCACAAATTGGTTAAGGCTTTAAAATCTAGCATAAAAAAATTGATTTTAAGGGTTCGCCATCCGTTTATCATTTGTACCTTAGTTTCAGAATTTTTTTTTAGCTAGGCTAATCAGTAATAGTGTTCACAGCTTCCATTGAAATTATTTAAAGCAATCAAATCCATGTGTATCCAGAATTATCAACCTCTTTTATGGAAACTCTGTCATATATAGAAAAGACATAGAGAAATAGAGAGTGAAAATTCATGTCCCTTTACAGGCCTAAAAATTCGTCCAAATCCAGGAGAATCCAGATGGACTCTTGCAAATGCAATCTGTTCGAATGGATTTTATAACGTGTGGTCATCAAAAATAATTACGCTATCAATCAGTGTTTTTTTTTATCTATTTTACAGTATATGAATATAAATCTATGCCGTTAAATATTAATATTATAATAGATTATGAAAACTATGAAGAAATATATCATCGGCTAGCTGTAGGATCAATTACTATTTCCTTTTGAACCTCGTTTATAAGTCAACAATAACATTGAAACTGTTACTATATAAAACTCTACCACAGATCAGTGGCTTGGCCATCCAGACTATAAATAGTATTGACTCGTAATGAAGGCTGGATTATTTGAGCTTGATGATCGGGACAAAACCTCTGTAGCTTTTTTTTTTTGTGCAAATCGAAAAGGACTCGCGCGACCAGGGTTTACGAATGAGATTCGGAGACTTGCGTGAATTTTTAGGCCTGCTTTAAAACTAAACTAAAAGAGTAAAATATCATTTTTGCTTCACTTTACCGTGGAGTTTTTAGCCTACATAAATAGATTTGGATAAATAATTTGGATAAATGATCTATTTATTAAAATACTGATCTTTCAAAATTAAATTAGATTAACCCAAAACATCAAACATTTCATTTAATGAATTTCGAAGTGATGACCCTAATCCTTTCTTAAGATTTTGATCTAGTTATAATTGATAAGAATATTGAATCAGGCTGGCGTTTTACTGATTATTACAGTTATCCTCAAACATTGTTATCAGTTTACATAACCATACAACAAATCATTTGTTTACCTACACACAATCTAGATCACTACTTCCAACCAGGGTTGTGGTTTTAAATTTTTACAGGTGGTCTGGTTAATTTTTGATTTTTGCAAATTCAATATCCTTTTTCAGAAAAGGTTTTCTGGTTTAGAAATGGTTAGATATGACCTATTCCTTAACTTCAATGTCCTGTCTATCAAAATACCCAATAATCATTATAAGATATATTTCTGCTCTAGAAGGGATGAAGAGTTGGCAATCTGATGGAATCAGGGGCATTTTGCATGAAAATAAAATAAGATTACCATTTTTTTTCATTGTACTATGGTGACTGACAAAAAAAAAATAATGACGAAACAAAATTGTAATTTAATTTTGATTAGATTGTGGCATGATTTGTCTATCTATACTAACTGCTGAATTGTGTCATCATTTATGAAAACTCTAGAGAGAAAAACTGATATTTCAAGAACCAGAATGATGCATTATACTCACACAAAACCCTTATCAAATAACCAATAGCAATGCATAATGTTATAACTTGAAATCATCCCACTGAAAGTATTATAAAAACCTGGAAAGCTAATATAATACACTGCAATATGACAGTTGTTGCATATTGATTATAACAAGAATTCCAATAGTTCATTATGGTAATTGGATTTTAGCTTAATTAGAGATGAGTCATACTACCATATTGGTCATCCTGGTTAATTAGTCTTAGATTGATACCTCATAAAATATTTAAATGAGACAATTAGGTTTGGATAGTGGTTGTATAGAAAATTCTAATGGTTTGTTTTGGAATTTGTTTCTCTTATGGTCAAAGCATTTTTCTCAAATTGTCAAGTGCACTGTAAAGAAGCACAAGCTTCATGGACATACTATTTCTAAATTTGTGATTTCTTTGTAAGCTATGATTATTCCTATATGTAGGATTATTGGAACTCAGCTTTTTGTGATGGATTATTAGTACACTCTTTGCCTTTCTTGACTAAAGTTAAATTATAAAATTTAAATTAGGAAGCATTTTGTTGCTTAGTTCATTTGAAAGCAGGTTAACAGTTTGTTTTGAGGAATCACTTTAGAAAGAAATTTTAATCAATTGGAAGTTAAACTACAGGACTACTGTTCACTACAGTATTTTGAGATTCTTGGTGCAGAATGTGTGAAATTTTAGATATTCAGGAATTAGACTTCGAGACTTTTTTAACTGTTGACAATAAAGGTAGGTGAATATTGCTTAGTAAATAATAAGCCTTAGTAAGTGTTATATTTTCCTAAAACAAAAAATGCCCTGTTACTGAATGGGCGATTGAATGGCAGCAATGTCCTGCAATGTGAATTTTTCAGGCTACTTATTTTTGGTATTATACAAGATAGGCATTACAATGTTCTTGTTAAGTGTTTCAATGGTCAATCAGACTTGATTGGCAAATAAATCTGTGTATGCTTATCTACAGGGCTTGACATATATCTGTTGTGAAGAGAAAATCAAAACCATTTTAATTATCGTTGACCTTGTGTAGGTTGTTCTTCTAAATATTTAAATTGACAATTGGCAGAGTTCTTTCTGGTTAAATTTCTTATCTGATGAATTGGAGTTAGTCCAAGATTTGATTGATTTGTGAGCTTTGAGTTTCCTGTTTCCTTCTTGTTTTGAATTTGTTAATTCAAATACTAGTTAATTCGTATCTTGCTTCATTACCAGTAATTAAAGTTTCGTGGATAAAGAGTTATTTTTCTAAATGAATAAAAAGCAATGAATAATAAGGTGATGGTGGTTAGGCCTTCTGATAAACAGGATCTTTCTCATAGGTACCACATCTCTGCTTTCAAAATCAGATTTGTTTGAGATGAAATGTCTTACTGAGGCTTTGTCCGACTATATTTTGATGATTTGTCCAATATCTGGATTTGTTCATAAAAATAGAGTATAATAGAATGATATGGGAAGAGTCAGTATAATAGCTCAAGTGTGAGTATGATAGAGTATATGAGTGACATATAGTAATTAAAGGTGTTGTATACAGGTGAGGGGGTAGGTAGGGTCAGAAAGTACAGGGTAGTATTGAGGTGACTATTTAACACTATTGAAAACATCTTGACTTTAAATTCACTTGAATCATTCAACTGTACCATATCATTGACTTCAATCACTTTGCAACTTTACAGTTTAACTTCATATTCACTAATTTTCTACCAATTCATCAGTTAGTCATTGATTTGACCTATTCAATACAAGTTTTATCCATTTAAATGGTCAATAAAGTTTTGTTTGTTTAGAAATGAAATGAAATGAAATGAATGGAGTTTTACGTCCTACTTTTCTGCACCATGTGGGCTAATGAAGACGGGCAATGCCATGCAGGGTGCAATGAGGGAAATTTTACCAGGACAGCGGCATTAGCCTGCCCTTTTTCGATTTCCAACTGTCGAAGGATCTTTAACGTG